CTGCAGCGCTCACAGAGAGAAGCAGTGACTAAAACCAAACTCACTCTGCTTTGGTGAAACATGCTACGAGACTTGAACTCGTCAGAAACATTGCCGATATTTCCCTGTTTGACAAAGACAGGATTCAGTCCAAAAGAAGAATCTTTCTTTAGAAATAATACCATTTAATCTGAATTATAACACACATACCTCCCCACATCTGGATTACTATGGCTCATTGACAGCCAGTTTTGCAGAGTGCTGTCCTTCAGTCGCCCTGTTATCTGGCCACCTTTCAAAGACTTGAGACAAAGTAGATGTGACCTTTAGCCAAATTTTAACATTAGCTAGTCAACCTTAAATCACCTTTGATGATCAGGACTTCAATATCTAATGTGACTTTTATTTAAAGTGAGCTTGATAAGAAACATTTTTATTTGATTACCTGTGCAGGTGAAGAGTACAGGAAGTTGGTGTTCCAGCCTGCTGTGATTTTCAAGTCTTTAAAAAAAATAAAAAAGATTTCATCATGAATATGAATTTGTAAGTTCATCTAAAAAAAACATTTGGTCAATTCATAAATACCACTCAGTTCAGTTGCGGTACTGTCAACACTCCATGGTGGTTGCACCAGAGTTGGGCTCAGACTGTCCTCTGAAAGACCATGGCCGATCTGACCTTTGCTCCCATTTCCAAAAGCCCACAATTGACCAGAGGAGCCCAGAACAAGGGTGTGATTTCTGTTAAACAATAATAAAAAAGAATATCAATATCATGTTCTACTTCCTCAATACACACAACTAGTTTTATCTCCTCATTACACTTGACCTTTACTGTTACAAAATTGATATTTAAAACATGTAATTATACAGATTATGGCTGGCAAGGAAAAAAAAAAAAAATAAAAATAATATTGTTAATATTATTGTTATTATTATTAAAGGCAATAATAAAATAAACATTTTACTCAGATGAATCCCAGGGCAGCTGGCGATTTACCACGAGTAATTGTGATTACTTGAGATGACATCTAATCATGAATAATCTATATAAACGAACATTTCTATGTATGACAATCAAAAATTGTATAATGTTATAAATGGAGAGACAAATAAGAGCAGATAGATGTATGGTTAGCTAAAGTTATATGTGACTATGGTGCAAAATTATTATTATGGAAATGTAAAGGAAAAATATATGAAAATATGAGTTAAACCTATAAACCACTGAGTTGGGGTAAAAGGTGTTTTTTATTTTGTTTTGTTTTTGTTTTACCTCCCACATGCGATCTGAGTAGCAGGTCCATCCAGACCTTCCACCTGCCTGGGGTATACTTCATTGGTTCTTGAGGCGTGACCCAGTTGCCCGTGGCTTCCTTCTCCGAAAGTTAAAACATTTCCATCCTGAAAATTGCAGCGTTGAAAATGTTTGTAAATTAAACCAACACAGGGCCAACAGAGGTCAGTGGTTGTCATGGGTGTGGATATACCTTAGTTAACACAGCAGTGTGGGACTCTCCACAACTCATGAAAGAGACACTGCGAGATCTGAGAGCAGGTATCACACAGATGTTGAACCTGCCTGGTGATCATAAGTGACAAAGACGTGGTAGTTAAACAATAAGCCAAAATGTTCTGAAAAAATATTGTCAAAAATACCGACACTATAAAAATGATTTTTGCTCCAATTACAGAATATTATAAATAATAATATATTTTAAATATATTTTAAAACCATAAACCTCAGAACTTTTTTTTATCACAGGAGCATCAGTATTTGATAATATAGCTACAGGGACCTTGAAATAAATCTTTCAATATTACAATTTATTAAATATTACACAATAACAATTAATTTGTATTCTTCAAAATAGAAATGACAATAAAAAGGTTTAATATGTCCCAGTCTGGTAAACAGGAGACCCTAGGTTTAAATCCCTGCAGTTTCTTTTGGTGCAGCCTGAGCAGACTTATATCAGATAATTGCCAGTTTGAATCCCAGTCCACTAGTTGTTTGTACCCTTTACGTCCACCCTGTTGAGCCCCAGTTGACCAGATTTGTTGGCACCACAGCAGTAGACCAGTCCTGACAGTGTGAGGAACAGAGAGTGGGCCCCTCCGGCTGAGATCTGGGTCACCGGTATGCCGGACAGAGCACACACCAGACCAGGTGTGTGTCTCACTGGTATCTCCTTCCCTAAACCCAGCTGACCATGACTGTTCAGACCCCAGGAGAGAACATCTCCACCTGGTCGAGAAAAACAAACAAAAAAAAAAAAAACATGGGAAAAATCATTGAAGGAATTAATTTTGGCAGTATTTTGAATAGGTTGGAGAAGCAGTAGTATTCCTGAATTGGACGTGGGGTATGTTCTAAAAATAAAACTAGACAAGAAGAGGATCAAACGTTGTATTGTGCTTTTTGAACTAGTAACACTTGCAATGATATTCAAATGGGTGAACAATGTAATGACGATGATAAGAAGAGTGTCTACTGTTGTATGTCCCTGAACAACAATTAGTTCTGGGACCTACAACAGTAGACACTTTTATTTTTGTATTACATTGTTCAGGGAAGTCTGTATCAAACAAGAAACTCTTTATATTACTGAGTACCCTTGAAGTAGCTCTCAGTTTCAAAAAGGTTGGTGACCCCTGATGGAAAGTCAGGTGAAAAGCGATTCTTTTTTTCCTTCTTAAACATTCGTTTTTATAGGCACATACAGCATATTGAGCCTAGCATGAATATGTAGCCATCACAATTAAAGTCCAGGGAATTACAGTAGTGACGTCACAGAAATAATATGAGTATGTTTATGTTCTACCTTTAGTCAAAGCCAGAGAGAAGGTGTTTCCACAGGCCACCTGAACCACAGGTACAGCTAGAGGTATTGTCACCACACTGTAAGAAGAAGAGATACTTAAAAACAAATCTTTAAATTCTTTGTTTTGTTGATCTCTTTCGTTTTTAATAAAGCTAGCTCAGGCGTGGGCAAACTTTTTTCCTCACGGCCTTAATTGTCCTAAAATTGAACAGGGACAGTCAGGAGCAGATAGATGGAGTGTTAGTGTGAACTAAGATAAATGACATTTAAAAATCATAAGGCTAAAATATTAGCCTTAGGCTAAAAATGCCAAAATTTGCCAATTAGGCTAAAATGCTTTTAGCCTTGTCTACGCCATCTATAGGGAAAACGTGGGCATTGCAGGGAAAAGGCAGAAGTATAATCACAATACAAACCAATTACTGTATATAATTTGGACAAGTGTGGCAGGCCAGATTACAAAATCCGGGCTCCAGGCCTTAGTTTACCCATGCCTGGCCTAGCTTCAACCACATACATGATTTAGTATTTCCCTTTGGAAACCAACCGGTTTGAGATGAACTTCTAGGCCAGAACTACACAAGAGCTCCCTCTAGTTTCTGACACTAGTATTCATGTATTTCAGCCACTCCCTTACCTGGGCCACAGAATGCTGCTTTCTTGGTCCTGTAGGATGCCCAGTTGTCCATTGTCTGCAGCGCCCCATGAGAACACACGTCCAGATGCACACACAATCAGACAGTGGTCCTGACCACACGCCATTGTGACTACCTTTCCCACGCGTTCAACTCGACCTGGTGAGTTGGAAGCAACACATTTTTAAATTTTTAAAACGTATCCACTCTGTTGAACAGAACTTAAGAGTGATGTGAAACAAACAAACAAAATACATATGACTGCACAAGGTTCAGGGGTTAAGAAACCAGGAGGAAATCCAGAATAGATTATTTTTTCTTTCCAGGACAGTGAGCAGTGAAACGAAAATTAAACTTAACTAGGTTTCCTGGACGTACATTTTTGTTATGTTAACACATGACGTCATTGCAATAATAAAAAATACATGCATTTTGTTAGAAACATTGTAGGACAGTTAGGAAATAACAAAAGAAATATATTGTAAGAGAAGGAAAAAAGTCAAATTAAAGCATGGGCCATTGTGCTAACTAAACATACTATTTTGCTGGTAAATATTGTGTCCTAAATATAACAGATCCTCTTGTTCATATCTAATTTGTTTATTATAATTTATTGTAACACTTCAGTTTCATTACTGTCACTGCTTCACTGCATTTTCCTCCAAGCACCTGCTGCACTTTAAGAGCCTTCTAAAAAAAAAGAAAGAAAGCAACAACTATGACTCATGAATGTAACGCTGCACCCAGCTCCCGTTATCAGCTGATTCACTGTTTGGTTAAGTTTTCTTTTCTGAACAGTGAGCAGTGAAACAAAAGTGAAACTTAACTCGGTTTTCTAAATGTTTGTAATGTAAACACTTTACGTCATTGTAAGAAAAAATACATGCATTTTGTAAGGCAGACAAATCGCAGGACAGTTAGGAAATAAAAGAAATATCTCGTATGTCAAATAAAAAGCACTGACTTTGTATCAGTGTTTTTGTTACGTCACTTAGGGTACAGATGTCTATATACTTTATATGCATAAAACATTTTGTAATATTAATTGTAGTCATTATTAATAATATGCAATTATTACTTAATAATGTTAATATTTATAATATATGCATACATACATAGTAGTTGTTATTATTAATATTATTACTACTTCTTTTATTATTAATACTTACCGGGCTTGCCCGGAGTTTTCGTCTTTCTTCCAAGTTGTCCGCGTGCGTTGTGTCCACAGGAATAAACGTATCCATCTCTGCTGAGGAATAAGGTGTGTTGTTCCCCGCAGCAGATGAGAATCATGTCCTGGGATACAGTCCATGAAGCCGGTCTGAGGGCTCTCTGTGGACCGAACTGTCCACTGGAGCTGTCTCCCCAACAGTACAGCTGCACCATGTCTTCTCTTCTCCTGAACTCTAATTGAAGTGGCGCTCCAACAGCAGCGGCTCCTACCGTGGGTTATCCATAATGCTGTTCTTGGCTTCACGTAGTATCGGATATTTTTAAACTCTAACTAAACAAAGATACGTTTATTAATTGATTTGGTTTTGCTTTACAAAAACAAAGAACTATTGTCGGTGTACACGTAGGTAGAAGAATATCACGATATCACGTCTTATGTGGCTTTTTATGTGATTTTGCTTTTCATGGAACCAAGGATAAAGCGTGATGTCAGCGATAAGTAGACAAATTTACGAGCGTACAGTAAATGCATCATTAAGCCACAAACTACATGAAAATATAAAAAGCGTTGCGTATTTATAAACTAAGTTACACAACTTCAGTATCATCTGTTTCTTTTTTTATTCACTGGATGCAATGTATAATGTAATATTAAGTTTTAATCAATAAAGTCCAGTAGCTGTAGTTTTCTATAATTACAGTCACTTTTTGATCTGTAACGTAGTAACACGTATACAGACAGATACATATATAGTGCCCTTAAGTTGCTAGCTGTTAGCAAGCTAGCTGGAAATTTAGTGTGAAGATTAGTTAATTTTTTTTGTATAATATCAATTATACTATTACAACTACTACTACTAATAATAATAATAATAAAGAGTACATAAATCATTTTTAAAAAGTTTGATAGCACAAAGATAAACTTTCTCTGCAATTAGCTAGAGCACAATGAGCAAATATAAACAGGTTATAATAATATCAGGTCCAGATAATATTAGGTCTGTGTAAAGAAACGTGTACAAAGCTGAGGGGCAAGCTGTCACAAGGACACTGCTTGACCTCATCCCCAGACACGTTTTCATTTTCCCTGAGCGTCTTCTCTCTGTCCATCATTTTACCTGAAGCTGAAAACACACACACAGACCCATCCTGAAAACCCACATACACACACTGCTGTTGACACACAATCAAACTTGAAGAGGTCTTAGCCAAATGCACACTACCTACTCTTTGGCCATCTGAAAGTCTTACAACTGTGAGGACATGCCACGCCTGCTGGTCAGAGAGACAGATGTTCTCCAGGCTTATGTAAGCAGCCAAACGTCCACATTTGTCCATGGCGGCCGTGACGACTGGACCTGGGGCTTTGAAGGAATAGACTCTGAGCTGACATAGGTCTAAAACTTTGACTGTGTTGTTGTCAGTAGACAACAGTGCGTAGCTTGCATCAGAAGACACTTGAAAATCTGACAGCTGACAGTGAATCATAAATGGCAGCCGAAAGTGTTTGTACACCGTCTCCTCGCTTATGTTCCAGGTGAACACAGTACCCGAGGCAGCCATTACTACAACATAGTCTGGCTGCTCTGAGATCGTGTGGAAAGCAACAACCCGCTCGGAAGTGTCCACGCATGAGAATCGCTTGTTCACGGCGCCACACCACAGGTTAGCAGCTAAGAGGTCCCCGTTGTGGAAGCCAATTAGGAAAGTGCTCTCAGGGGATACTTTGGCACTGGACAGGTACAGATGTATGGTGCACACAATGCTACCATGTGTTAGCCTCCACACTCGAGACAAGCCTTGCATGGAAACGCTCACTCCGAGGTTATTATTAGGAGCGATGAGGACGTCTGTGGCTCTGCTGTCGCTGATACGCAAGCTGTTCTGGCCTGTTTCTGTCTGCCACACGTAAATGTCCTCTGCTGAGAGTGTCACCAAGTAGACGTTATCTGAAGAAAGACGCACTTTCTCTACTGGACGATCGTGTACAAAGAAAGCCTGTGGGACGCCTGCCTCTAAACTCCATTTCCAAACTTCTTTTGACCCATCCGAGGTGTAGAATTGTTCTCCTTTTTGTCCAACCAGAACCACCTGTACGCCATAACTTGTTCTCAGCGCTGTGCCTGCAGCATCCACCATCCTAGCGTCCCACACTGTCAGACTGCCATCACACGCAACACTAATCAGATCTGTGTCCGTTTTGAGGAGGGTACAGGGCTTCTCACTTGCATTTAAAGAGAGCACACATTCCCCTGTGCTGATGCTCCACACCAAGACAAGGACGCAGTTTTCTAACAAGGCAAGAAAGAGGTGGCCACGCTGGGAGAGCACGGCTTGGGTGAAGGACTTTCCTTGTGGGGGCAGGAACTGATCCCATATTTCCCATTTACAAGTATTCCAGAGAGTAATCTGATGAGACTGACACACCAATAACGTGGACACTTCCTCAGAGTAATCATGATTTAGAATGTTTTTCGGTTCACCCTGAATCAATACTTCTTTTACAAGTCTGAGTGGTTCTGTTTGGGTTGTCATATCCCATAAGGCAACATTCCCAATCATGTCAACACAAGCCACTTCCCTCCTGTCCACGGAGACAATTATCAATGTCACTACATTGTGAGTTGAGCTTGAACTGCTGCCAAGCAAAGAGCAGGAGTGGGAGTCAAACACAGACACTGTGCCATTTTCATGTCCACAGTACACGTAACGGCCACCGGAGGAGCAGGACAAACAAGTCACAGAGCTTTGACAGTGCAAACCAGACGAGGCCTCGGTATCAACGTTATACACAGAAACATAACTCTCATTTTTCCACCACATGAATATGGTTTTCTGACATTCAACAAACCCACCGATTTTGTTTGCGGTTATGAGGCTTGGGTTTTGTTTCTCACGGACTTCAACCTGAGTAAACTTTTCCGGGCCTGTCACATCCCATATTAAAAACCTGTTGCACTGCGTGGAAAACAGCAGGTAATGTCCGCTACTCTTCACTTCTAGAAACTTTAAATCTTCACGGTCACAGCTAAGAGTTACTTCAGCCATAACACCTGCAGGATCTCTCCAAACCCATGCAGATCCATCATCCATGATCACTGCTATAATCCCATTCTGTGTCACTGAGGTTCCAGCTACAGAAAACGTCGTGTGTTTTGAAGCACTGAGTGAACTTTGAATTGGGGGAACAGAAGCAGGAGCAGGAAAAAGAACTACTTCTAATCTTTTTCCTGCTCTCCACTCTCGCCTGAACCCTTTGACATATACTTTGAGCGCAGGACAGATACCCACATAAGGAAAAAGGTTTGTTTCCATCACTGCGGGCAGCTGTTGAGGAACATGCTGCAGTAAGTGAGCAGAACACATCAATGCACCTGCAATCAGTTGCCGTTCTCTTAAAAACCATCTGCCCTCCTGCAACATGGTCACTAGAACTTGAAGAAGACCAACTCCAACCATAGCCTGGTGAAACTCCGGTGACATCAGTAAACTGCATTCCAACTCCTCCCACCTGTGGCTCTGCTGCAAATGGTATGGCAGTTCTATGACTTTTCTCAGATTCGTCCGACCATTACATTTGAATGACCAGGTGATAACACCGGGATAACCGGACAGCCGCCTTCTACTTTCACCAAGTTCGGATCCTGTCCTCACCAGAAGAGGTTCAGAGGTTTCACCAGCCACTCTGTGGCTTAGAAAATCTGCCATTTTTGAATGGATCTCCCTCCTTGTTACCTCAGAGGCTAAATACTTCTTAGCCACCACTAGTTTGAAATGTCTGCTCATCCACATCAAAACAACAGACCCTGCAAAGGACCGTGTGATAAGAAACCTCCTTAGATCTAGCAAAAGTCTTTCTACTTCAACCTGTGGGAGCCCTACACCCTGCTGGACATACTCTGACAGTACACCATCGCCAGTGGAGAGAAGATCAGCCAGGTCTACCTCAGGCAGCCCGCATCTGGAGAGCGTGAGGTAGGAGACGGCATGAGCAACAAGAGAAGAGCCATGTTTCTTCTCAAGGTGATCAAGGAATGCAGCGATTGAAGCATGGATTCCGACAGGAAGCGATGACTCAGTCACATCTGAATCTGATGATGAGCAAAAAGGAGAATATGCCATAAGACATAGTCATATTCATTTTCTACTTTACAGATATAAACATCAAAATATAACAAAGAAACAGGGAGATACTGTTTATGTTCAAATGAAATGTTTACCAGTGTAATATACTGTAGGTGGCACTAATGCAACGAATGAGATTCAAATTGGCTGGTAAGGCCCAATGAGAATCCAAGGCTGCAGCAGTTAGCTTGGTCAAGCCATGGGAAAGCCTGATTACCAAAATCAAATGCTACATACAAATTAATACACTGCTAGAAGGATGGATGGTAGTATTACAGTAGTGACCAACAAAAACTTCCAATCAACCAACATGTTGCACAAAAACATCAGCAGACAATTAAAAGTGTCCAATTAATCAAACACTCTATACAAAAAGTCCAGGGATTGAACCCGTGACCTCCTTGGTCGTCGCAAGGCGAGAGCTCCAACCAACTCTCTCTACTACTTTAATTTCACAAAAACTATTGTCGTCTTACCAGAGCGCCAGAGTGATGCGTGGACATGCAGAAGGCGCACATAGAGAGTCCGACCACAGGAGGTCAGCGCATGATTCACCACAGACTGTTGTCCTGATGTCACTCTCCTTCCTGAACTCCCCAGCAGAGCCACTAACAGCTTCCCACACTCCTTTCTGTCTGCGAGTCCCAGCTGTACACTAACATATCCTGCCGCCTGCTTCGTGCTCTCTGACACGCAGGGGCGTCGACACGGATGTGTGTAGTGTACTCTGATAGCCCGCAGGATCTGTGTGCTGCTGGTGGAGACCGTGAGGATGAGCTTGACAGCAGGTGGGAGTGGTGAAGGGAGGCTCTCAAGAATTGAAAGACAATGAGAGTCAGTTTGGATTTGATCCAGGCCAGTAAGGATTAGAACTAGAGGCTGTTTGGAAGAAGGTAGATTTGACAGGAGGCATCGGAAGTGAGCTCGAAGCTCCGTCAGACTAACGTCTGGTTTGAGGACACACTGTGGGCATTGTGTGCTACTGGAGTTTGACGGTTTGACAGAAACTCCGTCTATGTTTGCTTGTTGATGCTGAGTGTCCAATTTAGATGTTGGCCAATCAGGATCCACATTTACACCTGGATCAGTGACCTTAAGAAAATGATCTGGACCAGTGGCCTGGTCAAGGCTGCAGACCTTCAGAGCAGACGAATCACTGTTGTACTTGTTTACTATTTGAAAGCACAGGCTGGACAATAGGTGAGACGGGGAAAGAACAGTTTCATAGTTGCAAAAATAAGTGATCACCACAGGATGGCAGTCTGGTAGCCATGATTTTATCTGTGGAGAAAGATGAGAGTTGTAGGATTTATTAATACTCTCTATGAGATGGATCAATATTTACTAATTATTGGTCACATGGGAAAGTCTGAAGGATTTTCAGATAGTCTTCTTTTTCTCAGTTTAACAAACAACAATACTTACATTTGCTAATATTTGCTAATATCACACAATTATTGACTAAAAATATTATACAGGTTGAGAAAAGTCTAATTTTTTTTGAGCATATCAAAGTATAGTCTTTTACTTATTTCAAGTAGAGTAGACTTGCTTATTTTTTTACAAAATATACTTTTAAAGATTATATGAAATTTCACTCACTTCACGTACTTATTTCAAGTAGAGTAGACTTGCTATTTTTTTCAAAATATACTTTTAAAGATTATGATATTTCACTCACTTCACGTCACTTTCAAAACACAACAATTACATTTTTTTGTGTAAATAACGTGAAACAAAATAAAATACCTGTTGTGCACAGTGTGCCAGCAGCACAGTCTTCCCTGTGCAAGGTCCACCTAAAATCACCAGAGGGCGCTGTTTGTCACCCCGCGTCACATATGTTCTGACCTGTAAAATGGGAAACTTCACTTTGTAAATGATGCCATCTGACTTCTAAAAACGTTTTAGGACATGACTCAAACCCTGACCTCTTCTTCTTCCTGTCGAGTAACATCATACAGCTGGGACAGAGTAGCACACAGCCCGTCGCGCTCAGCTTGTTCTCTGCTCAGGACATCCACAAGCTGTTGCTGGTTCTTGGTTTCGGATGTTTTAATGTTGTCAATCAACCCCATGAGGTCGGCGTTCACCTGCTGGCACAGAGACTCGGCATACACATGCCTCCTGGCTGTGCTGTAACCACGGCAAGGGTCACACAGTGTAGTGGTGGTGTATAGAAGATGATGACAGGAAGTTACCAAGCCAGGGAGGAAGTTGTCACAAAGCTGCGAGTGAAGCTGTTCATCAGTTGGTGCTGCCCTCGTGTCAGCCTCAAGAAAGAAGAGCACAGGATAAAAGTTATACTAAGTTTTAAAGTGCTGTGTTTTTGTATATGAACGTATGGGACATTTCGTAACTTTGATTTATTTAGAAAATAAATTCTAACTACTGTAATTATCTTACTAACAAGTAAGAGACAAATATCAAGACAGGTGTTATACGATACGATACCATAGATCTAGACACATTCTGTTACCTAATATCATAACCTCATATGTGCAGTTATGGTCAGATTATATTAGGTTTCCAAATGTTACAATAAAACGCTATACCATAGGACATCATACAATAACATAAATACAACATCACACAATAAGATAGAAGATAATGATGTAAGACATCATATGAGTGTATGATAACTGAAAGTAACAAAGTACTGTATGCAGTATAACCATTGACTGTGCATGAAGAACATCAGAGACTTGACACTAAGTAGAAAGTGAAGGTTACCTCTGACTGTTGCTTAGTTTGTTTTTCCTCCTTCTGTCTTTTAGCATTAATGACTTTATTGATGTAGACCAGGTACCGTCCAATGACATCATCATAATTGTCAAGTGCAAAACGCAGATCCGCATCGACAACTGAAAAGAAGAGAATAAGACTTTAAACAACACATGAAATAAACTAAGTCATCTGTGGTGAACTGTGTATAGTATACTATGTGTTATACTAGTAGCGTATGTCTGTCTGTTAATGGCTGTGTGCGTATATATGCGTGGGGCGCGACAGAGAATGTTAAAGTTGAGAGTAGTTTAAGCCCTGCCATGTAAAAACGTGAGTTAGTTATACAGGAGCTGTTAAATCACTGTTTAGGTTCTGTTGTGCTCGGTGTGGCTGATAATAAAGACCCCACCTTCCCTGTTTCTGTTTACCTGCTGAGGACAAGGACAACGTTAGGGAGTTAGCCCCGGAGCTAACGTTAGCTTCGGCCCTGGAGCAGATCACTAAGTCTCCCCTGTGCATTCCAACTACGGTCGGGGCGCCAAAAAAGAAAGGAGCTAACGTGTAACCAGCCGTGTTACAGTCACGGTTCGGTAAAAATAATTTATTTAATTAAAAGTGAAGCAAAAAGACATTCAGTGTAACATATTTCAGTGTAAATAGCCCCTGTTACAACGTGGACACCTGCGGTTTATTGAGAACTGCGGCCTATGTATGCATTTTTCTTTTTAAATTTCGTGGGCGTGGCTTATATTCCGGCGCACTCAATAGTTACTGTATCTATCTCATTTATTAAGGATTTCGTTTCAAATACATTCAATGTCAAAACCAGCGAACCTTTCTTACCTGATCTGTAGTATCTTTGTGCTTTGTTTTGTGACATAAGTCCACGGTGGACACACCGACTGACACAGTTCTGGAACAACTTCATCAGGTTTTCTTCCTCGGCCCTCATCTCTATCTCCTGGTCCTTGCTGATCAAAGACTGTTGACAAAAATATTTGACAAAAATTTGAATTTTATAATATTATTTATTTATAGCATTTATATTGGACTTTGAGTGAGTTAATGAGGTAAATAATAATTTTTAGTAGTGACCTGAGGAGATTCTGTGCTCCTATGTGGAGGTCTCAGGCAGTAGGAGGGAGGAACGGTGTTCTCCTCCCTCCGATAAACTCTCTCCAGCTCCTTGCTGCTAACTCCTGCCTCCTGACTCTGCCGCAGCAGCAGCTGAAACTCGGACACCTCCACCTGAACAGGGAGCCTGGCAGTGCCGTACTGATGCCCTATCAGCGCCTACAGTGCCCCCATGTGGACACAGTAGAACATCACAATCAGAATAAAAACATTGTACTGTATAGATAAAAGTAACTTTGAAAGTATTATAATAAAATAATTATAATAAAAAAGAAATATAAAGTCCAAAATATAAAGTAGTATACACATTGTAAAGAAAAAAAATCGAGAAAATAATCAAGATTAGATCACATTTGTTATAGGATTTTTTGTGTAATAACATTTTAATTTAATATAACAAAATATATGTTTATCTGTCTGTCCCTAATTGGATGTGTATCTGTCATTCATTTCTGCACACCTGGAACACCATTGAACATCAACTTTATTTCACCTACTGTATTTCCCATTCATTCACTATGGATCTGTCAGCTGAAAGCCTGGCATACAGTATTGTCCACTCAACGTAACATCATTACTGCCACTAATTTATTTACCAGTAAAAAAGGTCCGGCCGAACTCTCTCTGCATTCTTTAATCATCTGCCGTCGGCTGCATTCATCTGGCCAACGATGGGGATCACTGGACTCAAATGGGTCAATGACCTACACACACACACAGAGGGAGAGATGCATATGCTGTTAAATAGAGACACAACATCAACATAAACAGAACAATCATGGAATCGTCTTACAGCAGCCCGTCTCCTTGGATGGACTTTAACTGAAATGGCCCTTTGGAAGAGGCAGAATTAATTAAATCAACAAAATAAAATGCATACATGACAGGGCAGTTTGGGCAGTTTGGGCAGTTTATTGAAAAAACTAAACAGTCTTCAACTTAACAGCAGATCTCTTTGAGCTTTTATGAGAAAATACGAGAGAGTAAGATGAAAAATACTTCAGTAAAAGTACACAGAAAATGTGATAGTAAAAGTGTCTGGAGGCCCGATACTCTTTATCTACTGTATTAAATATACACAAATATATGATGTCTTTCGGTGTATTTACTAACATGAGTTTTATTTGTCCGTTGTTGTCACAATACGGACATTATCATTCCATAAGAACCATATTTTAAAAATAATAATATTAGTAACCATAAAAATAGCACTAATAATACCAATAATGTGTACTTCATTTTTTAATTGTCCTTTGTAATAACTAACGGACACATTTCTACTTAATTGTATTTAACAAAGCTACTGTTAGAAAAGGGTTTTAAAAACAGATGTGAAAGATTCATTTTAAATCTCACCCTGAAGTCCAGTCCTCGTGTGTGTCTACAGTAATCTCTGAGTTTGGGGAAAATTCTCTCTCTCAGGAGTTTTCGCTCCACAACGCTGTCTAAACAGAACAAGAACGTGAACATATTAATGAAACTGAAAACACTCAGGCAGGATTGTGTGCAAACCTCTTTAAGAATGTAGACGTACCTTCGGGGTTGGAGCACAGATAGATCTTCACGCAGGATGACTGGCAGGTGGAATCAGGTGGCGACCAAGCCATGATTCTCCCAATTCAATTTTCATTTAGACGCAGGTTATATTTCTCCTGCTTCTCGTCTGCGTTGTAGTTTCTATCCTCTGGTCCACTCAGGAAATCCTACTGTGGTGTGTTTGTAGTGTAGCCGTGATCACACCCACTTCTGTCTCCACACGACTGTATTGTTGTGCTCTGCATCATCGTTTAGCCTTGTCCTAAATCTTAACATAATATGATGTGTAACAACACAGAATCAACTAATCAACGTTTTTATTATTATTCAGGACAGGCAGAAGAGAAACAGAGAAATTGAACAATGGGATTTACATGTTTTTTATTAACATTTTTTACACAATAAATACAAAACTTGTTCTTGTACAGCCAATATTAATGCGCAGAGACTCGTCCTATTCTCATTGTGTGGCGAGACGGAGAAAGAGAGAGAGAGAGAGGGAGAGGCCATTCGTTTTAACACACCGTTAGTAACAGCAGCTGCTTTAAATACAAGGATGACAATATAAAATTAGATCATAGATAAAAAAAATTAACACAAATATTGAACTCCGTTGCTGAACCACAGAGACTCTTAAAAAAAGAGTAATTAATAAGTTAAAAAAGACCACTGGCAACAAAACGTCATCACATTTTTTGATTGACTGATGATTGATTAATCGATCGATTGGCTGATTGGTCGACGGTCTATCTATCATCTACGGTTGGGGATTGGTGGGGCGGGAACTTACTGCTGTAAACCATAAACTTCAAAACAAGTTTGAAAATCAGTATAAATAAGATCTCAGAGAGATCGAGGAGAGGCTGTCGTTCAGGGCCGTCACTGACCTCTGCGACCCCCGGGTCAAAGTGAGGTCCTGCAACAGCAGAGGAGGCGCACGGAGCCTGATGTACACTACACCATTCCCCGCATGCTGTACAGTGTTGGATGAAAATGCTACACAGAGGTTTCTAGAAGTTGATGAAATAAAATGAGACTTTTCAAACTAATTTCCCTCCTCAGCATCGAATACAACTCAACATAAAAAACCAAAACAAAACGCAGGATTCAGAAGTTGGATTAAAATATTAAAATGATGAACGTTCTTGTTCTTTAAAATAAATAAATTTACTTCTTGAATGATGAATTGAATCTTGAAGTGTTCTCATAGTTGAGGAACTGTTTTCATGGTTTTTAGTTCTTCAATTTCTTATGTGCATCGGGGAAAAGCTGTGAAATCCAAGTAGTGAAATAAAACCTGGTTAAAATGAACTGGTAAAATGAGTGCATTCTCAGTCATGATCCAAATCCCCCCTCTCTCCTATAAACCATCTATTAAAATCAAATCCCCCCTCTCTCCTATAAACCATGAGATCTATTAAAATAAAAAAAAAATCACAATTTCCTCTGTAGTCATTCAAAAAGGGGAATTCAAATTCCTAACATTTGTTTTTTTTTTGTTTTGTTTTATTAAAGCAATAAATACATCGTCCACGGTTACCTTTCCTTCTCTTTAGAGGAGTTAACGTACAAAATCAGTCACACTGTAACAAACCACAGCTTTAGAAAGAAAATAATCATTTTAAAAAATGACTCTGGCTTCTGTATTTGCAACTACAGTGATTTCTCGGGGAACTTTCTATACTCGGTCGTCTGTTGCTACGTGAAGATGCTGATGTTTTCCAGGGGAAATAAATAAATAAAAGTGCTACACTGCCCTCAGGGCATGGAATTCAAATGAAATGACTAAAAAAAAGGTTTCAGCTACGGCTGCTATTGCTGCTGATGCTCTTTTGTACTTTGTACTTTTTTACAGTTCAAACTGAAATGTGAAACAAGTATAAAAAAAATCAGGGTTAAATATAAGACCGTTAAGGTTACTTTGCTCTAGCTGGTGTTCTCTGTGCTCCATTTAAAGGTCACAGAGATCCCAAAGTCTCAGGAAATGTTAATTCCTTAGTCACAGATGACATAAATTACCACAGACACCATAAAAACTGTGTAAAGTCAGTATTCTGAATTTTGATCTTAGAATTCGGATTTTTTTTTCTCAGAATGATTGTGTTTTATGTAACTGAGTGAAAAACATTGACTTTTCCTCGAGACTCAACTAAGAATTTTTCAACTTAAAATAATAATAAAGAGGTTATTATTATCATCATATTATTTTATTTGAATAATTCTAGAACAAAGAGCTGTTTTAAATTTGTATGTAAAATTAAATAATTGAATTGTATTTCTTTAAGGTCGGTAGCATTAAGTCAGAACTCCGAGATTGCAAAATAAGTGCAAAATAAAGGGGAAAAAATCAAAATGTTAAAAATTTAATATTTTGAGGGTTTTATTTTACCCATTATTAGGCCAGATTTGGACCCTGGAGCCACATGTTTGATTACAGTGCAATAATGCATCAGCAAAACAAAAACCAAATAATAAAAAGTGCATAAAAGACACACACACAAAAAAAACCCCACAACGCTTTGTGAGACTTCAGGGCGTCTGTAGAACTCTGGTTGAAATCTAAAGGGAATAAATGTCACTACTGAAGCGGAGATTAAAAAATAAACAGAACGTGTTGTGTGTAATCCTAAATGATATATGCTACAGATAAATGAAACTCAACGTGAGATTTGATTGGTAGGTATTATTGTCACACACAGCCTTTTATGTGATTCATATATAAAAAGACTCCTGACTCCGCCCACTTCGTTATGTGATTCATATATAAAAAGACTCCGCCCACTTCATTTTTAGTGCACACAAACATTGTCATTGTCACCACATTGTGAATACCAACAATTACTAGTGCCCCTGAAAGCACCGCTGTCCTCCACCCTTCAGTGCAGTGATATCACCACAGAAGATATAGAAACACATGTTAGCGTATGTACTGTACGTGTGTGTGTGTGTGTGTCAGAGTGTTTGAGAGAGAGTTAGTTTCACACTGTTGATTGACAGACAAGACATGAGAGAGAGGAAGGAGGGAAAAGGAGGAGAGCTGACGGAGAGGAGCCGTTAGGAGCAGAAGGGAGGAGCCAGCCTCTCCTTTATTGCCCAGCATCCTCTCCTCCACCCTGTCATCTTTCCACCTTTCCGTCGCATTGTATTTACAACATTCCCTCTCTGCGTAGGACGAAGGAAAAAGGCGCACTTACGTGTCAGACGTCGTCGTCCAATCAGCTCAGTTGTCTTATATGAAACCCTTCCAAGACGACAGTAATGTACTGTACGAATACACACCGGATATGACGGTACGGTTTAAATGTATATAAGGAGAGGGAAGGAGCGGAGAGGAGGAGGAGGAGCAGGGAGATTTGTCTGCAAAAAAAAACCATTGAACCAACCACAGTAGGTCTCATTGACTTCAACTTCTGCCATGCTCGTTTCCCAATAGTTTTCAAAATGGAGCCCTAACAATTCAAAACAAAAAATAATTTTAAAAAAAAGTCCATAAAAAATGTATTCATGAACTCCAAATGTACCTGATTTTTAGACTAATTTATTATCTTTTTTATGTAAATATTAAATAGATTTTTGAACATTACTGTAGCATAAATAAAAGAGAATGATATATATATAAAAAAAGCAATAATAATAATAATTTAACTCAATACTGATTAAAATTTTGACTTGACAAAGTTTTAGTGTTAGGGCTCCATTCCATTTCGTATGCTCCATGGTTACTTGTCTGGTGGGGAGGACCGTCCGTGATGATAAATAAATCACCTTGTAACCCCCTCAGAGAAAGTCTTATAAATTAAAGAATAACTTTCCAAACTCTTCACTTCTCGAACACCTCCCCTGCCCAGCCCGCCCTCCCCCGCCCTCATTTGGCTCCTCTCTTGACTGTGTTCTGATTTGAGGCGAGTATAAGGTGAAGTGCCGAAGCCAGTATAAAAGGATGGAGGTAAGTGAGTGAGCATTACAGATGTAGTCTCTGCTGCACTCCATCAGAATTCTAATACCATTATGTAACTAAATACTTGATCTCCTGTCGCTGCTCTCTGTCTTTGCTGTATGGTTAGAAAGATGCGGAGCTGCCGGAGGAGGTCCATCGGGTTCAGTTCGTTTAGTTTTTTTTTTTAAATCACATACAATAGCTTTATTGACGCTCACTTCAAGTGGAGCTGCTTCCTAGTCCTGTGGAATAAATCTGTCTGTCCTCCTCAGTCTGTCTGTCACACCAGCGTGATCTCCACCTCCTCTGTCTTGTCGCTCTTCTCCTGGGGCCTCCTGGGATGCTGTTTAGGGGGAGGAGGAGCAGCTCTCACCTGCAGCAGTGACAAGTAGAAATAATAATGCCAATTAAATCAGAGGTAGATCCAGAAGCCAGAAAATGTATTTTTGAGACCATGGGAGGAAGAGTGACATCTTTAGGCCAAATGTAAGAAATGAAAGAAAACCTCATTCTCTGGTTGCATCGTTGCAAGAGACCAGAAATGTTTTGCTGGTTCTAAATCCCTGGATGTGGGTAGCTGTGTTATGAAATTATACTACTTATATTTAGTATTATTTAGTATATCAACTGGTGGCCCACTGGCCGAATCTGGCCCACCAAACTGTCCAATTCGACCTGCGACTGAATTCCAAAATTATGGTGGAGAACAATGTGATTTTTGTTTCATTTTATTGAAACGCCCAGTCCCCAAGGTGGCTGTCCAGAAAATTTCTGGCCCTCCAAACAAATACTGTTGGTGACCTCTGACCTGAAAGATCAAAGGTATTAGCCATAACTTTAAAATCGTCTATTACACACATTGCTATTCATTTGAACAATTCACCCACCTGCACATTATTCTTTGCTTTTTCTCTGCGTGTCAAACTGTTACTGTGCTCTGTTTTTAGCCTCTGCTGTTTAAGTTTAGTAAAGTTAGGGTCTTTTTTTATACAGAAAACTTGCTGGACACTAACCGGCCGTAGTTTCCCAGGGTTTCCGTCAGTGGTGAATCTCTGTGGATGATTCTGAGGAAATCCTGGAGACACTGGACTCCTGCTAGAGCTTGGATCTACACAGACATGAAGAAGGCTTACTGATGGGAAAACACAGTGACCCCCCCCTCCCCTCCCCATCACTTCCCTTAATAATGATGCTGGTATGTGGGACTTACTGTGGGTGGACAGCGAACTCTTGTGAGACGAGGCAGGCAGAGGAAGCTTGTGCTCACCGTTAAGTGCAACAGAGGGTGAACGTGGGAGGGGAGGTGGGGTAGAGGTCTCAGGGCTGGTGAAAGGGCTGATGGGAGGTTGGTCGTACAGTGGAAGAGGCGGTAGAGAAGGTGGTAGCTTCCCAGATGATGAGATCTACAACAAAAGATTGGATGGAACTCAAATCCTGGAAAACATTTACGGAGGAAAAGGTTTCATTTTTGGAAATATCTGTTGTTGAGTCATTTACATTAAATAAACAATGTCATCAAATGAAGTCATGACTTTTTATAGTGTTTTTATATTGTTTGTTAATAAACAGATCTCTATCTCAGTTCATTCATATTGTTTGCCACATATTGTACATTGAGGAGGAAAATGTGGGGCATATTGTTTGCCACATATTGTACATTGATGAGGAAAATGAGAAAAAAAAATCGCCTAGAGCATACGTGTCAAACTCAAGGCCCGGGGGCCAAATGCGGCCCATGCATTACAGCAGTGGTACACTTATGTCCAGCATTCCATATTCCACTGGAAGGCCCTCACAGCCCCTCTGGCACCACATGGTGCCGCACCAGGGGCGCCGCCCGGCTATTTGAGAAGTACTAATCTAAATGTAAAAAGTTACTGCAGCAGGTAATTTTAAAAAACTCCATAAGTAATTGTTTTTGGCTAAATTAAATCAAAGCAAGAGGCTCAGAATATTTACAATGTAACAGTGCACATCATTTTATTATCCAAACTTTGTAGAGTCTCTTTATAGATTTTAAATTATAATTAAATACATTTTAAGAGAATATTTTGGGCTTGTCTGTTAACTGTGCGTCAATTACATTCAAGTGTAATTATAAAGGAATACGTCATGTGCTTATCTTCTCTGATAAGACGACAAGTATGTAGTTTAGTGTCCTGTGTTATGACTACATGCTTTTGGAAGGGAGGGGCTGTGTCCTTCCTGTGGGTGGGTCCCTAGAGCAGCAGTGAGTGGCACTGATAAGAACCAAGTCTTTGATTGTAGAACATGGTTTTTAATCAATGTGCTGCAGGAAAATGGCACTTCTGTTCCACTTCTAGTGAACCATACCCCGCCGATGGAGTAAGTGAGAACGGAAGGAAGAAAACAACAGAGTACTCTGATTACTGCAATAATCTACTCCTGTTTTTTCCTGACTTGAGGAAACACTGATAACGGCACATTTTTAGCCTCATACATGCCCAAACAGGTTTTCTTTTAAAAAAAATCTTTATATATACAGTATTCCCTCTATATATGGCAGTTCTCCTTTCGCCCCCTCAGTAGAGTCAATAGAGAGTTTCGCTGTATTGAGGTCCTTTTCATAAATATTACAATATTTTCTTTTTTTTTGTGATAAAAACATTTTCTAACCTAAAAAAAAATAAACAGTAAAAATAGAGCAAAAAATAAACTAAAAGACATCGCTGGTAGCTTTGTTTACCTAGAGAAGATCGAACACGAAATTGTGTTTCTAACTTTGATTGGCTCATGCATCGCAGCATCTCTAAGCATCTCCCCTTGTGTATTTAATTTATTTACGTAATATGTATGTCTTATATTTCCATTCTCAAACTCTGCAGTGCATATAACTGTGTGGGAAAGGGTAATACAATAACAGTGTGGGGGAGGTTCGTAACGGGTAAATATATACGTGAATAATATAATAACTATCTCGCCCCTACTTTGCGGATTTTCCCTTTTCGCAGTGGTTCTTGAAACGCAACCACCGCAACAGGAGAGGGACCACTGTACTTTACCTCTATAAGGCCTGTCCCTCCTCCTCCTCCTCCTCCACTTGGCTCCCCATTCTCAGTCAGATCCTCCACAAGTACTGAAGGGAAGACGCCCACTCGCCCGTTGAGCTCGCCTTCCCAGAAACCATCGTCTGTCTGAGTGTTGCGATTCAAAAGGCGGATCACTGCTCCCTCGCAAAAGGAGAGCTCCTCGTCTGCTTGGCCCTCGTAGTCGTAAAGTGCACGGACATAAACCACTGCAGAGGGAAGAGGAACAGCGAGACATAAGAATAATTACTCTTGGGGAAATAGACCAGCTTTGTCTGACTGCCTTTGATATTAAGACAATTGTACTCAGTGCCGGAGAGCAGAGATATGAAAACGAATGAAACCAAGGAGGGAATTTTCCTTATTTGAAGCCAATTACGTTTGGAAAGCAGACGCAGAGCAATGAAGGAGGACAAATAAAAACAGGAATGTAACAAAGCTTGTCCTCTTTTACGACATCCTAAAATCACCTCTGAGGTCTTCCTCTTCGCCTCTGGCAACTCCGTCTCAAGCCCTCCAGTCTAACTTTTCCTCCAAACTGCTCCACCTTAACTGTGCCTCTAATCTGTTCATTTCTAATCCTGGTCACTCCCAGTGAAAATCTCAACATCTTCATCTCTGCAAACACTGAAAATACACTCAAACAATAGAGCCCTGGAAATAACAACTAAGTCTGTAGCAGCGGTTCCCAAAAGTATTTTGCCAATTCCCCCAAAAAATATTGGTACTCCTGAAATAGCTTTGTAACCCTGCGGGAGGTTCCCACCTCCCGCTTTGAGCACCACTGGTTTACAGTAATATCTGAATCAAATATGTGACTCGTCCCTGGTGCAAAGACATAGCCATGAAATCCCTTCTGAAGACCTTGTTACATATGTTGTCAAATTGAACAGCCCTCAGTTTGCTCGGAGAAGCTCAATGAGCCATTAAATGCAGTATTGGAACTGATTGTTTCTATGCCTGTAGCCAAAATGCAACTCAGGAGTGTGGATTTGTTTACAGCTAGAAATAAAAGAGCGGACAGACACAGAGAATGTGTGGTTTTTTTTTTATGTTTTAGAATTAAGTGGCCCTCGTGTTTTACAGCTAAACACTTTAGAGGGAGGCCAATTATTATATAAAGTACAAGGGTTAAAGCTGCTGCTGTATATACACCACGTCTCTCTCTCTCTCACATTAATGTGTTTGAACAGAATAACTCTCTATTATAGAGAGGAGCATTTAATTCTGCCTAGATTCGGGATGCTCACTGTTTGCGTCTCCGTTGATGCAGACAGAGTGCAGCTCCGGCTCGGTGGAATTGGACGAGGTGTGCGATCGGGCGTCCAGCGTGGTGAGCGACTGGAGCATGCTGAGGAGGCTGTTGGAGGTAGGGAACTGCAGGTACTTTTCTGGAACGTAGCCCACGTGTCCTGTTTTATTGCGAGCCTGGGAAACATATATAACCATGTAAAAACAAGACACATAGACTGCACAATAAAAGATGTGATTAAACTGTTCGGGTTTGTTTGTGGACCTTGACCCAGTCCTCCATGTCTCCATCTTCAATGACTTCCAACATCTCCTGCTCATCGATAGTTAACTCATCCGGCTGAGAGGCCTAAACAACAGAGACAGCAATGTGACTCAAAGTGTTATAGCAACAAAACAAAAACATACTGTATTTTCCAGTCTTTTCAAGTCACTACACAGGAGTAGCAGATACTGGCACACAAGCCTAGAGTGCCCTCTAGCGGCTGTCAGTGTGAAAATAAGAAACGTGTAATTATATATTTTAACATATAAGTCGCACCTGAGTATAAGTCGCAAAACCAGCCAATGGATGAAAAAACGTGCGTCTGGAAATATGGTGCTATCCTTTGGTATGATGAAACAAAATCTACTAAAGCTGTAAATTTACACTTGGTGCTGTACTTGCTTGTGGCAATTTAAATTTATCTTGCTCTTTGAAATGGCTCCTGCAGAAGCAACTATAGCACCAACAATTTCACCCTGGGTATCGGTAAAGTATGTCTGATTCCGGAAACATCGATTCTCCAGTAATATTTTTACTACTCTCTCATTCCCCTGAGGGAAATTACTTTTCACATCTATCCTATCTGGGAAACATCAAAGTGTTTAACACAGATGTAACAGCTTCACTTTACTTGCATCTGCTCAACACACCACAGTCCTGCCAGGGCGGGGATTTCAACCAGCAATCCTGACACACTAGCAGCCCTGTGCATACATGGATGCGTGCGTGTCTGTTTGTCTCTTACCTTGTACGAGTACAGGACTTTGCAGGTAAGAGGGTAGTTCCGAAGGGTTCCTGAAGGACTGGAGCTGCTGTCGTCAAAAACCTCCATATTCTCCTCACACTCCTCGCCGTCCTCACGTTCCAAGTCAACTGTGCCCTTTAGGACCACGAAAAGAATAACAGCTTGACACCATTTTAAACATTATCCACCACAAAGAAAATGTCAAGGAGTCAAATTCACCCATAAATCTCCACAATTACCCAAAAGTTTTTCAAACTAATCAAAAGTCTTCTGCGTCCAGTTTGCAACGTTTCTGGTTCTTCGTTCCTGTGATCAAAACGCTTTTAGACTCAGGTGAGAAAGGACTAACAGTGCACATGATCCAACCCCTCCTTCCTTTTGTTCTCAAGAGTTCTACCGGCTCACATGAAGGTCATACGATCCATCTGGTCGACAGATTCATTACAAAGCAGGCTGCCATGACCACAACAAAAGTCTGCATGTGTGTGTGTGTGTGTGTTTGTGTATGCATATGCCTGCTCTGAAGTCATTGTGTTGAGTCGTCAGATTTCTGTTGACACAATAAACTGACACAGATGCTTGTTCTGTGTGCAATTTCTCCAGATTAGACTCTAAGATACAGGATATAAAATAGGAAAAGTAAAACCCTGTGTTTGTTACTTTCAACAATCTTATAAAAAAAAATAATGTTAACAATTAATGAATGTAGTGCTAAAGAAAGTAATTGACAACACTCTTCGATGGAGTTCTCCAAGGAACACAAGTGGGCCCTATACGGATTTCTTTGGGGCCACCTTTTTTTCCTACATGTTGTAACTTTCACGCCCCAATTCTTTAACCACTTAAAATCAAAAGGTTATATTTGACTTGATTAAACAAGCTAATGATCTTGGAAGGATCTGAACAGTCTCTTTGTTACAGAAGTCACCTTGAAAATGTTGTTTTCGCTGCTCTGAGCTGCTTAGTGGTTCCAATGACAGTTTTAGCTCTTTAGGTTTATTAACATGGCCTTCAACCAAAACAAAGTAGATTTGTCTGTTGTCAAAACAAGCTTGTTTCAGCTTAGATTGTTGGCTGAAGCCACCGCCTTCACTGTCACATAAGGGTTATGAGAGTGTTGTACAAGCATTTACGATGACTCGGATAGTCTACGACGGTGTTTGTGCGAGACCAGACCATTCCTTTCTGGGACATAAAATCTTAAAAAAAAAAAAAACACTACTGCAGTTTCGCGGCCAGTTCACCTTTATTCCATTTAAGAACTACTTCTCTGTGGTTTTATATCATGATTTCCAAAGTTTGGGTTTCTTTTTTAGTACTCGTTCTTATTGGTCTCGGCTCACAACATTAATATTCCAGTGGGAGTCCTGAGTCTTGGTCTGGTAACCTTTTCTTCTTTTTGAAATCTCCTACTACTTGACATTATTATCGCTAAGACTATTGACAATTTGAAAGACCAAACTTTGTCTTGCTGGCTGCTGCTGGTATTTATTATGTCATTCCATTGATTAATTAAATGGCTGTTATTGTTTCTTCTTGTGGAAGAAATAAAAACAATAAGAATCTTTAAAGCATTTTCAACAAAATGCTGTCAGCGTTGAGCTACAAAATGCTACATTACACAATCCACAGAGTCTCTTGTTTATATGTCTAAAAGTAGTACTACATTTTCCTGTGCTGTGAGTGCAGTTAGAGTTGTGTTCTCACAGGAAATGACTTTGAACGCAGAGATGATGCTCAATAAAAAATATTAGGTTGCAAACGGCTTCAAATTTAAGATCTAATTACAAAGGCATTATATTTCTCGGCTGCATTGCATGGGTTATACCATTACATTTTTGAGAATAATTATTAAAATTGTGTTTTATGTGTGGGTAGATCAGCTGATACCCTGATTTATTAGTCCTGAATGTTATAGTGGTGAAAATGATATTTTAATGTTGGAAGTAACTGTGGAAAAGAAACTACGGTTCACTTCACTACGCTCAGTATTTTATAGTTGTATTTATTAAAAATAAGTGCAATGTAGAAAGTAAAAAGGGATGTGCCTTATTTCACCACTCATTGATCCCTGCAGCCTCTCTGCAGATAATATTTCATTAGCTGTCCAGTGCTTTTTTACTAGTCTCAGGTTTGCGACCTCGCTGTGATCAGCAAACTGCCCTCTGTCTCACTCTGCTCCGTGTTTCTTCATTTCCTTGGCTGCACACCTCGTGATTGCAGCGTCTCTGCCTCTTTAATTGCGAGTGTTAGAATCGTGAGTCTGGAGTCTGCGCCCGAAATAAAATCACAGGCTGCTGAACTGCTGTCACATGCCTCGGTGCACAGCCCCGACTCCTCTCTGGCCTTTTCGCTGACACGTTCAACAAAGAGTGGAGGAGTAGTCGACACGTCTGGCCTCCCGCCGATGCATCTCATTAACACGTGAATAAGACGAGCAAACGTGTTGATAAAGTCCGGGATGCCAGCTTGTAGATGAATGTAGATATATCTGATCTTTACATTTAACATGTCTGGGGCTGCTTCTATTTTCAAGCGGCAATACAGTATATATTCATGTCCTATATTAATTGTCATTTCTCACATTCTCCATCCCACTAGCGCTCTCTGTATAACTTTATCACTTCCTTGTTTCTCCCTCTAGCCCATACGTGTCAAACTCAAGGCCCGGGGGCCAAATGCGGCCCGCCAAACCGTTTTGTGTGGCTCTGCAGGACCTTAAAAAGCATTTCAAGTCCATGCAGCAGAGTTTCTTAACCTGAGAGATTAAAGGTTTTTATAATCAATCAAATAATAATCAATTGCAGAAACATGTATTTGTCTGTTATGGAGTAGTTACATCTATACCAGCGGTCACCAACCTTTTTTGTTCCAAGGACTGGTCAGCCAGTTCCACCCGTCTACTACAGACCAGTACCAAGGTCCTGACCATTGAAGGATCATTCCATTTTTCATAAAATAAAACCTCTTTTAGACTGTATTCTGTTTGTATCTGAGTCTGAATGACTTTTATTTTAAAATATTGACGGAATATCTTTAAATAAATACATCTTTAAATACATTTTTTCACGGTGTCCCACTGTGTGTGAAAATTAGTTTGACACCCCTGCTCTAGCCTGAACTCTTTACATCCCAGACTTTCCTTCTCTCTCTCTCTCTCCCCTCATCTCTTTTTTTGGCAACAGCTGCAAACTGCAATATCATGTGAGCAGAATGTCAAGTGCTGCCAGTAAAGTTTACAGACACGGGGTCTGGTGGATAGATGCACTCTCTTGCACACACATCTGAAAGTCAGATTACATTCGAAAACACACATACGGCATAAATCCATACGAACTAAGTGATGCACAGTTATAATAAGAATGATCATTTAACAAGGTTTTCAGAGTGTTCTCCAGGTTATGTGAAGTTTAGCTCGGGTGTCGCTTTATACCCGATGAACACCGAGAAGTTTCTACACCATGACAGGATGTGGTGAACTCGTTCGCCTGGGTTAACTTGAAATAAATAAAAAAAAAATGGTGAACTCGTTCGCCTGGGTTAACTTATATAAAAAAAAACCCACGCTCAACAAGTGTTTCACCAGACGACCCCAGTCAAACTCGAATGCAACAGATTCGAAGAAACCTGGAGAAACACTCAGCGACCGCTCAGTGTGCCTCAGCACTACGTCTTTTTGGCAGTAAAACTAAAGGTGACGTACTTAAAATTGTATGAGATTTACATCAGCATTCAGCTGTGGCAACAGGATGTTTTAAGAGGCTGAAAGTGCAGTGCAAATGATCATGGGGCTGAACCAAGGTCAACTTTCTTTGAATTGTGTTACTCAGGCAGCAGACTGTCTGGGGAACTATGCTGGCCAGGTGTTTGCTTTTATTATCATATGTTCATAAAAGTTTAGAATAAAAATTATGAGTGAAGCCTGAAATGATTTACTGTTAAAAGTTTTATGCAAATACGCCTTTTGGGAGAACAGTTAAGCCAATAGGATTTTTTTTTTTTACAAACATCGAGTGATCGGTTCCAAATGGGTTGAACTGGGTCACTACGTTGGCCATTTAGAAAACCAACAGTGAAAATTTGCTGCATTAGAAGTACACTTACTGTAATCGCATTTAATTAAAAAACTAAGGACAAAGACAGGGATTGAAGGCATCTTACCGACAGTGAGGGATCGTGTGACGTGTACGTGGCCCAACGTTCGTTCTCTAGTTCCTCCATCACCTACAGAACACAAAGATACAGTCAGGGATAGCGTTCTTCCAGAGAGCGACCTTAACAGGAACACACACTCATACACATACTAGGATTTGTCATTTGTCACTACTCCTCAAACTCTCACTCGGTGACTCCGCCACATATGGACTACTTCAATAATAATTCAATAATCATATAGCCAACTCTGATCTGACCCCAATTCTAAATTCAAAACAAATTTTAAACCTCAAAACAAAATGTCCTCACAAATAATACTTTCCAGACAAACACACTCCACAACGCACCTGGTTCATAGCACTCTTTAGCCAGGTATCCACAGAAACACCCACTTGCCGAAGAAGGTCCAAACGTGCCTCAGCTTTCAACTTTACTGTCTGTGGGAAGAAAGACAGAAGTTCATGTTAAAAATGTTAGTTCAATCCTCACCAGTTCCTGTATTTTAAACAGACTCAAAGAGAAAAACTGTGAGATTATTCATGATTAATCGTGATCCTAATAAAACATTAATTGAGATAAATGAACATTCCTAAATATGGCAATGAAACATTTTATTTGCTAGGACAGAAAGACTATTAGTAGACGTATGTGTTTACTTATTTGTACTTTATTATATATTATTATAATCCATAAGAAGGAATTATGTCAAAAAAATAATAGTTTTGTTGACTGGTATAGTTGGTTTGAAGACATGTTGAGAGTCGACGCCATACCAGAAGTCAACGTCTCTGCAAATAAATGCTGTTTCTCTGGTAAAACCAAAACGTTTTCTCTGTTGTCTTAAATGACAACTTGGTTATTCACTATGATAGTTTACACCGGTTGACATAAAAAAAATGAGGTGGTGGCATTGGCACATTAGTGACATTCAGGTGTTCAAACAGAATGTGTTTTACAGTGTTTCTGTAATATTTTTATATATCATTTTGTTGTTTAATGTATAGTTACAGTTAGCGAGGTAAATACGACTAGCTCAATTTGTCTTTAAATAAGAGACAAGTGGTGATGCGCAGTGTTTCTGTAAATAAATGTGCATTATTGTATTCTGTTAGTAAAGATAGCAACTTTAGTTTATGGGGTAAACAAGACTGTTTCACTTGGTAATGGTATTTCGCATAGTTCTTACAAATAAAAAAATAATATAATTATAGTATTTGGTCATAATTTGTCAGGAGCTCCTTTTTTCATCCCTAGTGAACAGTGTAATTGTTAAATATTCAGTGCATGAAAAACCTGTGCATGCCTTCAAATGTGTTTACATCTTTCATTCTAAATAGTTTCACATATTATGGCAGTTACAATAATTTGACAGCCCTCATAACAATGCTGTGAATTAACATTTTTTACAGCTGGACCCTATACATCGACTTGTCATTAATACCTCTTAAAGTGTGCTAATGGTTATATAAGAGCGGGAGCTCAGGCTGGTGCGTTACAAAACTGCTGCCAACAGAAGGGGCTTAGGTTGTGTATTGATCAGGCCTGGAGATTCTGTCCTGTCTGTCTCTGAAATGGGCAGGCTTGAGCCATCAATCTGCCCCTTTAGACACTGAGAAGGGGAAGAAGTGTGTAATGAAGGAGCAAAGTGAAGAAAACGGTGAGAGAGAGCAAAGACAGAAGAGAGGGGAGCAGACATTAGGGTGCACAGTGGAGACGGACCGACTGTAAATCTCTGGGGGTTCCATGCCTCCCTGGTTAAAGCCTCGTTACAGTGTCTGGTTAGACAAAAACAAAAAGCTCCTGTCCAGAGACTACAGGGTGTTAAAGAGAAAACACTGAGGCTGCAGGACAAGGATTTGAGCTCTTTCTATAGAACCTTGCCTGATGATTGGCTCAAACTGACTGCTCCACCTACCTCGACCCTGCGAAAAATCACTTTGACAGAAAAAGATTGCAAGATAGACGGGTGGTAAATCTGAATAAAGGAATCTTTTTTGTAAGTAGGAATTGTGATTTTTTTTTTGGCCATCTGTAAGTCCTAATTTCCAATTCTTTGGAAACAAATGTTGTGAAACACAACAAGGAACAGATGGATTTGACACCAACTACTCAGACACAAAAATAAAAGGCTGTATATCGACTTTTCCTGTCCAATTCTGTCGACTTACTGACGGTGAGCACCGCCTCTGCTATTTCTGATGAGTGTTGATAATGTGCGTTAACAAAACAGTCATGTGTGATTTCCCTCTGAGAATAGATTTCAGCATCTTGTTAGGATGAACAAAACATCTTTTTGTAACCGTTCTCACTCAATTATCCCCAGAGCAAAGACTGAAATAATTACATAATTTCTATTTAGAGAATTTCACACACATTTCTGCTCTGTTATCAAGGATTTACAAGGGAGACAAGCCCTAACATGCTTAGTAAATTTATGTGTCTGAGAGAGAGAGATAAATGACCAAATGAAAAGAAGTAACATTTTGACGCGGTACCATGACAGCTTAAGTGTTGTTCACTAATTTCAAAGAGATAAGATTTAAGCAGAAAATTATAGTGTCATTTTTAATCATAATTTTTGTTTTTTTCTCCAAAAAAGCATTTTTATTACACCTTTTAAAAGCTGTAATAAAACAAATATTGTTACACGTTTAATGTAATCCCAAAATAAAAATGTACTTTAAGCTTACTATACATTCAATTCGATGGAAGAGAAGTAAAATTGTGAATTACTATACTACTATACTTACTTACTGTAATTACTATTTTCCAGACTATAAGCCGCTCCGGAGTACAAGTCGCAGCAGCCAAAAATGCAAAGATAAAAAATAATGTATAAGTCGCTCCAGAGTATAAGTCGCACCAGTGTCATCTAGCAGCTGTCAGTGTGAAGATAACAAACATGTACAGTTTCAGTGGTACAGGAGTAGCAGATACTGGCACACAAGCCTAGAGTGCCCTCTAGCGGCCGTCAATGTGAAATTATATATATTTTTTCATATATAAGTCGCACCTGAGTATAAGTCGCAAACCCAGCCTAAGGATGAAAAAAACGCGACTTGCAGTCCGGAAAATACGGTACCTGCCATGCATATGAAAGTGAATTGAATACAGGTAAATTACTTGTCAATGTGACACAGCACACCACAGCACGAAAGGAAATGTGACCCATTTCACCCATCGCCAAAGTCAGCAGGGGGCAGCTCAAGCTGAGTGCCTGGGGAGCAGTGTGTGTGTGTGTGTGTGTGCTGTATGCTCAGTGCATCTCAGCTGGTGCCTTGCATATGTTACACACTTAGTAGTATAGTATTTGCCCAATACATTTAACCTACCCAGTAGGGGTGTGTATTGGCAATAGTCTGTCGTTTAATTGTAGTAAACTGTCATCTTAGAAAATGCACAATGCTGTTACGTGCTCAACATCAGTTTACTAACAACTGCAACAGAATAATCTATATTTGTAATCGCTAGAGAAGAAAGAAAAGCAAAATAAAACAAACCAGCACCATAAATATTTGCATGTTAATTCTTAATTAAATTCTATATAGTGCTGTAGATACGGTGTTGTGAAATGGAATATCACCATATATTGGTGCATCAATATTGTCTTAGATCCCTACTATCCAGCACACATCAGTACAGACTATACGACAACTATACACATGTGAAGCTCTGGTGGGCCGCATAAAATGATGTGACGGGCCGGATTTGGCCCACTGGCTCTGAGTTTGACACACGAGCGTTAAAGCATCCATTCAGAGGTAATAGAGTCAGAGCAGCAGTCGTTGAGCACAGGTCAGCCTTATAAGTGCACTCTCTCATCCTGTGTTTATTGATTCAATTTAAACTGCAATGAAAATGGAGAGTGCTTCCTGAGATACAAGTTAGTTCTGCGGAAGAGCTATGGAATGCAAAGTTAAAACAACAATAAAGCAGGGTAAAGAATATATATATATATATATATATGTTCATCCTTCAATGGTTCAATGCTGCTCATTCAATGGCCTGTGATGACACAGCATAAGATTAAATTCACCTTTTCCATTACTTAGCAATACGTGCACTACGAGGCCGAGCTTACAGCAGCTTTTAGTTGTGTTTATGGAGATAAAAGTTTTATTGGCTTTTTTATGTACTCTTGAAACAACTGTAGAGTGAGAATGGACTGTTTGTGTAGAAAAATAAAACAGGCCTTCTGGCAGGTGGAAGCAGTTCATGAATGCTTCTCTGCGTTGCTAATAAAATATTCAGCTGGAAATGTGCGGAACCAAACAGGAAACATTACTCCCAGCCTGTGTGTTTAGGTAAATAATCTGCAAAGACGGACCGCTAATCTCTCCATACATTTCCCTCTCATTTAATTTGGACTTATTTACATATTTAGCATTTTCAATAACAACCATAATGCAGTATCATCTGCTTGAAATTGAAGCACACCTTGATTTTTCCCAGAAATCATCCAACAAATGGTACGGATTGGAGGTGTCCTGTAATCAAGCCTGTGTGGTGTCAGCCGCGCTACTCTCACTCGCACTGTAATTCTGCGATAAAGAGCTCTGAGATGAAGCCATTTCAACCAAATGAACTCATGCAATATGCATCATCTCACTCAAGGTAATGCTGAAAAGAGAACGCAGCAGATGGACGGCGTGTGTGAGAGTGAGAGTAACGAGGAGGAGGAGAGAGGTGGTGGGTGTGGCAGAAAAACAGGTGGTGTGGTCAAATGATGACTGCCCCTGAAAACTATATATTATGTAATGTAAAGTCAACTAATTAGCTAAAAAAAAATCTGTTTATTTAAAGGCTAAAACTTGGTTTAAGGTTTAAAAACTCCTCACAGAAGAAAAGAGGGAAAATCTATTTTTGTACCCAGCAGCAGAGGGTGCTAGATATCTGACATATATTAAGTCCCTGACAGAAACACAAGAAACAATGAGAAGAAGTAAGAAATGCAGAAAAGAGGCTGTAAGAATGAACGCTGCACTGCCGAGGGAGAATGAGCGAGAAAATAGGAGTGAGGAAAATAAAAGACGATACTGCGTCTCTAATTCACAGCCTCACGCACTTCACTGGTCAGAATCAATACATGAATGATAGATAACCCTGCAACTTGTATCCAGGCGGCAAAAGGAAGGAGTGGGCAAAAAGTGAGAAAATAAAGAAGCTGAAGTAGAGATTCAGACTGTGGTTTTATGTTATGGATCCAAGGAGTTACATTTGTTCAGTAAATAAAGACAGTGGAGTTTGACGCCGGCATGTATCTATATTTGGTTTATGATCAAACTAAACATTATCTCAGACACCGACCTCAGCTTTGCGTATGTTCTCTTTGGTGTCTTCTATCTTTAGCTCCACATCTAGTCTGCCTTGCTCTGTGTTTGGCAGCCCGTGAGTCTCACACTCCTCCAGAGACTGGAAATAACACAGAGACAAACACACTTGATCAGCCAATCGAGTTAAGTTTTGTTACGGTAACAATCGAGAACAAACACGGCCGTCTTACTCTCTTGTAATGAATAATATTCTTGTGTTCCCGGGCCACCCTCGTCGCCCATTTCCTGGCCTCTTTGTTGAGACTGTGCTCCTCCGTCGTCCCCGTCTCCGACTCCAGCTGACGACTCTGATGCAGACAGACACACGCGAGCAAATTAGAACGACACAAACACAAGCCGGCGTTGCACACATAGAGAAAGGTAAGACGACACAAGTAGAACTTGTTAATTAATCCACAGAATGTGTGAAAAACGGTGACGTTTCATCACCTAATGAAGACAGAGGCTCTACAGTTGTTCTTGGAACAAACAGATTGTAACCAAATTCAATGCAAAAAACAAAAACAAAACACAGTGTGTGATAATAAATGGCTGCACATGTCTGGATTAAACTGCATTATGCACATTCAATTCAGATTCTGTTTTGAACTAATCCATGAAATATGTCTCTGACTGATGATCACACACACATGAACACACCATGGTGAGTAATGGACACAGTGTCACAGATTTGCCTGGTAGAATTTATGTAGAAAAGGTTAAAAAATAAAATTAGAATTTATGTAGAAAAGGTTAAAAAAATAAAATTATATATATAAATTCACATATATAATACACTAATGACTTGAGCCACATAAAGGTCCTAAGCGCCCATTGTCTGATTATGAATGGGACCCAGATCTGGACTGCAGGCAGGCCAGTCAGGCAACTACACAGAAAAATGTGCCTGTCTCTGTCTGACTGAGGAAAGGAAACCATTAAGTCATATGTTTTATAATATGGACTGCAGGCAGGCCAGTCAGGCAACCACACAGAAAATGTGCCTGCCTCTGTCTGACTGAGGAAAAGAAACCATTAAGTCATATGTTTTCTTAAAATCCTAATATAAAACTTTGCATCAATAATTCCTTCACCTAGAATGCAGATTCTCCATGAACCTTCAATGATCACAGATGCTGGTTTATCACCTTATTTGCAAAAACTCTCATCTGTCTGTCTTTTTCTCATTTAAAAATGAGCCGTTGTCATTTAATGTAAAGCCATAAAGTAACCTTGATTATAAAATGTGCCATATAAATAAAGCTGTCCCACCTTGTCTTATGTACTGTGAATATCCCATTCACTCTAACTACAATTATGAATTGATGAAAAGCTGGTTTTATTTTACAGCAGCTCCTAAAAACGCATCATAATGAAATAAAAATATAGTAAAAGAAACTTAAGTGTATTATAAGGGGGCATGATTTTAGTATATAGAATTTAACAGAATTTACATGTATTCACAGACATGGGAGGCAGATGTTTTCATAACCTGATAACTCCGGTAAGCAATCCAAACCAAACTACATAATATTTTTTAATTGCAAGTTTTCATGCAGATCCTATCTATTAATTATGTGCTGTGTTTGGGTAACGAGAGGCCATAAATCAGGCTAAGTGTAGGTGTGAGACAAGAGGCATACACTGGAGATTTACAGCCTAATTACATTCAGGCGAAGGCAGCGTGTCAGGGAGTTCAAGCAGAGAGGCAGAACACATGATTTAAACTGCAGCTTCAGACCCAGACAGGAAGAGCTGAGTGTATTCTTCTATTACAATGATTAGTATGAAATGGATGGGGTTTAGCGTTTATTTCAATGTCAGAAAATTATTTATACTGAGCTTTTAAAATCCCATCCAGGGATACGGATAGTTTCCAGAGATATGGGCAGTGTGAAGCAAGTGTATAGACCAGGGGTGTCAAACTCATTTTAACCGGGGGCCACATCAGCAATACAGTTCCCCTCGAAGGGCCGGTTGTAAATGGAAGACTGTATAGATCAGGGTCACCAACGCCCGGTCCGCGGACCAGTACCAGTCCATGGGTCATTTGGTACTGCCACAGTGGGACAGAAAATACAGGAAGTCCAGTCATATCCATTTACTTTCTTTATTTAAAGATAATCTGGCAATATTTAAAATAATGTCATTCAGATTCTGATAAGAATAGAGTCTAAAATATGTAATACATTTTTATTTTTATTTTTAATTAATTCTTTTCATTTCTCAGGTTAAGATAATTTACTGCATGAACTTTACTAAAAGTTAATTCTTTTCATTTCTCAGGTTAAGAAAATTTACTGCATAAACTTTACTAAACGTTTTTAAGCTTCCGCGGGCCACATAAAATGGCTTGGTGGGCCGTATTTGGCCCCCGGGCCTTGAGTTTGACACGTATGGTATAGACAGTAAAACGTAGTTAGCAAATGTGACAGTACAGTAAGAATTAGCATATGATGAGAAATCAAAATGTCACCAAATGTTAAAACAAAAAAAACTTCCTTACACTTTGTTTTATCTGATCGCTCTCTGTGAACTGTGCTTATTTGGAGATTCTTCAGAATCGCATAAAGCACATTTAAAAGCAATAGACTTAAAACTGGGCGCTGCATTACAATAAAACAGACATAAAAACCAAGTACTTAAACAACTAGAAGAATAAATAAGCTTTTAAAGGCAATCATGACGTACGCTTGGGCAAGCTACTCCAGACTAATGCGTTAAGAAGGATGCACTTTTATTATACCTGTTAACAGTCGGTGGTCAAAGCAGAGAGACACTCTACATGGATGTGGTAGTGATTGTGTCTATAGATATTACACTTCCCAGTTCCCTGTTACCTATGGTTTGAATTCCATGATACATGAGATGAATTGTCAACCGTTTTTTGTTTTTTTTCAAATGCATGCATAAGGGTCAAATTCCAGACCAATGGGAGGCGGTATTGCTAGGTGTTTTGCAACAAATTGAGGAAAAGCCAACATTATACAGAGCGAGTTACTATTCCTCCAAACTGCTAACATTGTTGACCTACTTAAATAAACTTCCCATCGGGACAATGAGACACTGAACTGCAGTAGGAAAACACAGTGGCGCACAGCTGGTTGTAGTAAAAGCTGGTGCAGTGTGAGAGTGTGGAGGTGGCTGGATCAGCATGTTTTCCAGAGCAGTATTTGATAAGGATGGTTCGATACAACTTATTCATGTCTGATACCTATACTGATACTACAATATCAAAAGCAATATCAATGCGATACCCTCTTATCCGACACAGCAAAACACGGGCTGCCTCTGCTGAGGTGATGGTATCCCTGTTCACAGCATGTTGTGCATAGTTAAGTCGAACTTTCGGGCTTAGGTATTAAATCAGACGGGCTATAGTCGTTTTTTTTTTTCAATGTTCGATCCTGACATTTTGACCAATATTGGGCCGATACTGAGCCTGAGTATCAGATCAAGCCATCCCTAGCATTTGAATGATGTATTAGACCTCGAAGTTGGGCTGAACCTACGGAGAATCTGTGCATCCTCACTTCGAATGTGACTAGAATTACAGACAGACAGTAAGTAAAAAATGACAGACCAAAACACACTGCCATTGACTAGTATGGAAGCTTCAACTTCTGGACTACCTGGAGCACACACACTCGTTAGGTTGGGTCGTCACTGCACCAAAACACCAGACAGACCATAATCTATGGCTGAGCCCTGCAGAGCGAGAGGCTAATTTAATACATTGGTGTAACGCTTCATCCTGAACACACATGCGAATAGACGGAATATATGTATTATCTTTGTATCTTACTTCTACCCCTCGGAGAACCCTCCTCTCTTGACTAATGTATTGCATCATACTGTGCAGCACCAGTGGCAGTGTATGTGTAAGTTGTTTTAATGGATTCTTAAAAGCAGTGGGAGCCTGAGACTCCAGGACGTCTGCACAACCTGTGGTGAGGAACATAGACACTCTGTGACACACTGCTTTAAGAAGGTATCCGACATTTAACTCTGGTTGTAAAAGTAGGGGGGAAATAGTGGTATTTTACCAGATGAAAAATACATACAAATATTGAGCTGTTCTAGCGAAACGGTCCTTTTTTTTGTACCAAGAAATGGTCGGCTGCTATCAGTTGTTACTGCGGACCAGTAATACGACGGCAACGTTGAAGGATCATTACATTTTCAAAATAAAACATCTTTTATTGCTATGAAACATTGCCCGATTATCTTTAAATGAAAAAAGTAAAGGGATATGACTGGATTCTTTTTGAATGGGGGAGGTAGATGTCAAAGGGATATGACTGGATTCTTTTTGGGGGAGGTAGATGTTTAGTAGTAAGTTTAGTAATTAACTAACTAAAAAAACATATAAAATATTTCTTTAAACTAATTTGTATTTATTAAAATTAGTTTAATTAGTTTACAATTATTCAGTTTAAGTAGTTAAAATTATGTTTTTTTAATTAAAATTATGATTAAAAGCACCACACACAATCTTAAACAACCATATTCTTTCACGAATATAAAAGAAAGTCCACATTGAGCGCTGAATAAAAATATCTGCGCGAGTCCACATTGAGCGCTGAATAAAAATAAATGCGCTAGTGCGTCTTGATTGACAGCTGTGATCACATGACTGCACAAGTGACAGCTTTTAAAATGTCTCGGGGGGTCGCGAGAAATTTGTCATGTCAAAATGGGGTCGCAAGCCCAGAAAAAGGACAACAGCTGCAATTCAATTCACAAACGGATTCAGACATTAAGATGTTTTTTTTTTTGAATAATGGATTGTTTGGGAGTGTTTCTATTTTTTCGGATTCAGACATTAAGATGTTTTTTTTAAAATAATGGATTGTTTGGGAGTGTGTTCGAGAACACATTTCTATTTTATTTTTAAACTGAATAACCAACGTAACAAAGTTGTTTTCAGCATGAAATAGTAAAAAAAAAAGGATTCTTAGCCTTTACTAATCTGTTTTTTTTATCCAATAACAAGCCTCCAGTATGTGACATACAGAAACCCACAGTAAAACAACATGATTTATGTGGCGACAGACGGACAATGGCAGCAATGTGACAACAGATGACACAACAGGGTTATGACATCTAATGAATTGTCTGGTGCCGGGACTGCACTTTTCACCGTCGCATGACACATGAGATGATTACAGTGTTGTGATCAAACTGTCAAAATTGTGGGGTTTAGTAATTGATCAAAATAGCTGCCCTGTGCCGTGACAACAGGTGTGAACACCTCCAGTACTCATTCTACAGCGATGTCTCAGCCATGTATCAGTTTCTTTAACGGTCTTTAAATGCACTATTTGTGAATAAGATTGGTGAGGGCATGAATTACAATATTTAGCACAGGTATGGCCAACCTGTTGCCCGGTTTCAATGAGCTCTAACGTTCATGTCGTATTTTATGTTTGTTTTTTTTACACTATGTGAAACTCATGCCGATGGCCATTTGACGCAAATTACTTAGGGAAAACTCAATTTGTACAGGTGAAAAGATGTATACAGGACGTTTTAAAAGAGTGGGAGAGTTTTATATAATTTTTTTTAAAGGGTTGGGGCAGTCATGTTGCTCTTTGCAGTAACATGGTTGAAATTGTGGTTGGCCACCCCTGATTAAGCAGAATCTGAAGGACATCCTGCTCTAAATCCAACCTCAGGCACCTCCAAAAACTTTGACGTTTTTTTCAAACACTTTTGAAATCAAATTTTTTTTTACCAAACTGAAGGCAAAGAATCAGAATTCAGAGTTCTCTGATGGAAATAGCACATGCAGAATTGTTTAGATTCAAATGGAGATAATGCAGAGAAAGCTACCTGAAGGAAGGGAGGGAGGCGGGGAGGAGGGATGGAAGGAAGGAAGAAAAGAAAGAAAAAAAGAAAGAAAGAAAGGAAGAAAGAAAGAAAGAAAGAAAGAAAGAAAAAGAGAAAAAGAGAAAAAAGAAAGAAAGAAAAAAATGTAAAAAGTAAGAGATGAGGGAATGATGAGATGAGGGAATGATAGATAGATAGATAGACAGATAGACAGATAGATAGATAGATAGACAGATAGACAGATAGATAGATAGATAGAACAGTTTTCTTTAGTAAAACACACAAATGTTCATCAATCCAAATTGATCAAAAGCTTTAGATTAAAAAAAGAGGTTAATTCTAGCAGTAGTTAAGACTACCTGTGCCAGGGTCATTCTCATGGCACTGACGGGCGACGGCTCAATGTCCACCAACTGCTCCACCGAGCTCAGAGTCTGGCACACACACACACAGACATATGCACACACACACACGTGCATGCCAAAAGCAGGCATGCAGACACATCAACACGAAAAGGTGTTAATGGAAAAGAGGAAAAAGTGTCAGCAGGACTTGAGCAGGCAAACAGACAAAGAGGAGAGAAAAGAGAATCTGTTGTTAAACAGCACTACGTTAACACAGCAGAGAAATCGACGCAGTGAAAAGAGCACAGATTAAAGGGAGCACAGACAGGGGAGAGGAGTTAAGTCACTGCAACACAACAAGTCTGACTGGATTGAGTTTATACCGCATTAGTTATCTGCATAAATATTAACTATTAACTATCATAAAATGTGAATTTCCCAACTGTTAGTTGTGTGTTTTGAAACAGAAATTATTTATTTTTTATATATCTATGCAAAAATCCATATTTTTTTGTATTTGATAAAAATTTGCATTTATATCTATGCAAAAATCCATATTTTTTTTTATTTGATAAAAAATTGCATTTATTTAAATTTTTTTTTTTTTAATTTTGATTTTATTTGAAGGCTCTGGTGTATTTTTATGTAGGGTTGGGGAAGAATGGTGAGGTGGCAAGTCACTTCCACTCTCGCTGTCACTCAATCCTACACTATGGTTATTTAGCGGTGGCTAAAAAGACTGGGTTTCAGTGGACACATCAATTAATTAACCAATAATCAATTATTAGCTGGTTAGAAAGTATTTTTTTTGGTATAATCCGTACATGTGTAACTTTTAGAAATGTCAATTGCTGTATATGCAAAACAGCAATGCATGAACATTTTAGAACAACTGATTGTGTTTGAATCATCTGCATCTGTGGGTATTGGAGGGGAACGTTGCTCAATTCAAAGCGTCAATCCCATAAACGTGCCGATAATGCAAAGGAAAATCTTTCAGGATCGTTTTGCTGTTTTAAGTCAGTAAAATGAAAAAGACAAATCAGACTTGAGCCTACTTTATGCCTTAATGTTAAAACCAGGCTTGTACACAAACATCTAAACACCGTCGTTAATGAAGGCAGGAGACTCGTGACTCACCACGTCGTATTCACTAGGCTGGAACTGGAAGTCCTGTGCTTTGTGGAACACTGGATTCTCCTGCATGAACAACTGCTGGTTGTACTCCTGTATCAACTGCAAAAAAAGAAAATACAAACCAGGGGAAGATGGAATAGAATCAATGAACGAGGGCCAAAACAGAGGCTGAATCTAGAAACAAGGTCCATTGAAAACTAGAAACCGCAGAGCTGCACTTGGGTGACATGCAAATTTGATTGGATGATAGTGCCTTGTGGCGCGCTGCACTGTCTGGAAGCAGTGAAGCAATGAGCTGTACATGAGCACAAGTTTTTACCCATTTGCATTCACTCACAATGCAGGGAGAGGCAGGATGGAGAAATCATTTTCCAGGACAAGTTAAAGGTTTTCAGGACATTGATATTTTTGAATGTTTGCTTAGTTTTCTATCAGAGCAAAAAAAATGTTTATTTTATTTTCCACGATACCCTGTTTTCTATTTTACCTATAAGCAGTTCACCTTTGTGTAGCAAACACAATCCTAGTCCTACCACTGCTGCTCCCTGTACGGTTTTTTTCGTATAATTCAAAACAAAACAAAAGACTCCTTCCGTCTTCACACTCAATGTGGGACTCACCCTGGTGGACTTGTCCAACAGAAACTGGAAGGTGTTGTGTGGAGCTTGCGAGGCCTCTAACTCAGTATGACACAGTGACACCAGGTAGTCTTTCACGTGCTCGTAGATTCTCCCATCCAAGGCCTAGAGGACGGAAAAGAAGCAGAAAATCAATCGATACATCTACAGATGTAACCTCTGTAAAAGGTTTTTAAAGCAGCGTTCAATGGAAAACAACCTTATCTTTATGTTACCTACGAACAGAAATATCTGGTCTTTGACCTCGGTCTAATGCACAAACGAAAAGCAAACGCAGTAACGTACAAATGAACAGCTCCTCTATAGGGAACTGTGGTATTGGTTGTGCTGCCAAGACACAGGACACACTGCCAAAAAATGGACAAGACTGAGGAAATTAAGGAATATTTAAAAAGGTATTAAAGGATATTATTGGTCAGGAGCAAACTGGAGGAACAGACTGAAAAGGTTTTGTGTTTGGTGGATGCATGTGTGTGTGTGTGTGTGTGTGTATGTGAGTGTGTGTGTTATACACATGTTTCTGGACATTTCTGTCACAGCTGCATGAGGAGGTTAAGGGGTTGAGATTCCAATTCGACAAAACAGACTTGGACAAAATCTCTCCCACAGTCCTGCACACACACACACACACACACACTATAACCTCTCATTAACAACTAAAATATGTTTTGGTCCGAGACACACACACACATTAACAGGACCACAACAAGCGGCTGGAGAGCTGCACACACCCAACAATGAAACACTGAAAAAGGAAATGATGCCATTGCAGGGCGGGCTGTTGGCTGACTTCTTCAGAAAAAGTTTTCCCCCAGTCATTCTGCTCATTTCCTCCTTCCCTTACTTCCTTTCCTCTGCTTCTCCTTCGCTCTTTCTCCATTTACGGTAGCAGTGCAGAGAAGTGAGTCACCTTCCAGAAAAAGCCCATGGCCATCAATGCACGGTCATCGGTGTGTATGCAGTTGGTTACTTTAAAGATGGACAATAAAACAGTGTCCAGAGCAAACAGCAGGGGGAGGTGTGGAGTAGTTTCATCTCTCTTCTTTTGCCCTTTTACCACATACAGCATGGATGCTGCAGCATCTAGGTACAGAATCGGGTACTGTCCGTATTCAACAACATGGCCTTAGGTTTTTCCACATTATTCCCGAAATAGAAGCATTGAATACATTCTGATGCTTTCCCCACCTGTAGTTGATCACTCTCTTCCGTCTGGTCGGATATAAAAGGCCTGACTAAAAACAGCTGTCACAGTGCACCGAGAGAGCACAAAATGTACTGTAGTACTGCTGAATATTTTGCTGATAGGGTTAAGTTTTCTTTGGCTGCGAGTGAGGTCAACGCGCGCCAACCGATGCTATTCTCTGGCGCGGAGTTCAGAGACGCCTCAGACCTGTGAACAGCACACAGACCCTGCTCATTATGCAGATTACGATCCCTTTGTCAGAAGTGATGTGACACCGAGGACCTGTAAACACAACAAACTGCAGGAGAGGGAGGGACGGGGGTGAAACAGGCAGATTGTCTCCCTTGAGCAACGTCCCCTCGTTCTGTTTGCACGTTTGTGTGCATATACACGTCCCCTCGTTCTGTTTGCACGTTTGTGGGCATATACACTTGTGCAAATACATGTTTCCCTGCAGTCCTGTCCTTCTGTCACACTGAGCTACAGATCTATTATTTAGCATGGCCTCATTGTATAGATGCTCACACACGCCCTGGGCAGAGTGGGAGACATCGGGGGAATGGTAAGAAAATGAGGGGGAGAGACAGAGGTAGCCGATGAGACAGGCAGACAGAGAGAGAGAGAGTAAATAACCGCAGAAGACTTTGACCACAAACATTTGGAGAAAATGAAAGGAAATTACTAAAACAATCAACTCGAAATTTTGTATGGGCCTTTTGTCAGACAGTAAGTGTAAGCATGTGTTGGTGAGACTGCGGTATTTGAAGGGATGACATCACTCTCACTGAGTGGCTTAAGTTATTTTACCACTCCGACATGTTTGTCTCTATTCAGGACAGACTGTCTTTTTCTTTTCTACTTTTCAACTCCCTATTGAGATTATTAAACAATGAAAAATAATACAAAAAAACCCAAAACAATTTAAACAAAGCTGGATGGTTAGTGCATACTATTTCACATTCTTGTAGAACGGTTTAACCATCCATCATTAGTCTGGACCTGTGTTAACACTGGTCCATTTTTCACTTCGGTTTCTCTATTCAGGACAGACTGTCTTTTTCTTTTCTACTTTTCAACTCCCTATTGAGATTATTAAACAATGAAAAATAATACAAAAAAACCCAAAACAATTTAAACAAAGCTGGATGGTTAGTGCATACTATTTCACATTCTTGTAGAACGGTTTAACCATCCATCATTAGTCTGGACCTGTGTTAACACTGGTCCATTTTTCACTTCGGTTATGGGTTAGAAGCAGAGGTCACATTTCGTTGTGTGCAGTGGTGTGCTGTGTAGTTCACTTTCCTTCCTTTCCATTGGTCTTTGTTGAATGTTTGTTGTTAGTATGGTATTTTCTGGACTATAAGTCGCACCAGCCAAAAAATTGCATAATGTATTTAGTCTGGACCTGTGTTAACACTGGTCCATTTTTCACATTGGTTATGGGTTAGAATGTGAAAATAACGAACATGTAAATTTGTCGTGGTATAGGAATAGCAGATACTGGTACACAAGCCTAGAGTGCCCTTGTGAAAATAACAAACATGTGAAATTATATATTTTAATATATAAGTCGGACCTGAGTATAAGTCGCAAACCCAGCCAAAGGATGACAAAAAGTGCGACTCATAGTCCAGAAACACGTTTCCTTTTCCATGGTTTAAATCTTCATATTCATATTTCACCAGATTTAATTAGCTGTAGTAAGTTACCCATTTTAACATTTTTACATCATTCTGGATCTTTGGTCTTTTCCGTACTTTAAACCACATATCAAATGTGTGTACTATAATTGGATCTATATTAGTTTTAAATTGCTTATACATTTTTGTTTACTTTTTACTCACTTATACCAACATGGACTATAAGTGGCACCAGCCAAAAAATTGCATAATGTAGAAAAAAAACATATATATACATATATATGTTATATACATATCTCAGTTTTGCAGCGTAGAAATACTCAATCAGGTTCGGATGAGCCATACCCCCTCCTTCTTTTGGGAGCTGTAGAATTTTACATCTGATCCTGGGTTTTCTGCCTGGATTTAAAATGATGAGGATAATTGCTTCTTACTACGTTAATAGTATTTTATTTTCAATGTTGGCATCAGCTCTTCCTTAAAGACCTTGTACCATTCTGCAGCGTAACCATCACTTCCTGGTGATGGATTACTTTTCAATGAATTAATCACTTGAATAATCTCTTCTCTTGTAATGCCTGCTGTAAGTCTGTCATCTTGTCTCAAGCCAATTGATGGTAAATCCAATTGTTCTAAAACATTTCTCACTTGCTCCAGGTTGCTGGCTATACTTTGTTTTTTATAATAAAACTCTTCTCTATATTCTCTGGTTCGTGTGTCAGTTCATTGTTATGTGGAGCTTTTAGTTGTTGTATGGTATTCACTGCTTGCTGTTTTCGGGTATGTTTTGTTAGAAGATTTGTCGCCCTAGTCTATTCTGATCCATTGGTCAGAAGTAACATGACTAGACAGAGACAATGGAGGAATAGAGTGGAAGAATGAAGCAATTTTCAGTGTCCATCAGAGGACCATCAGGAGACAAATGGAACAAAGAGGTTTGATACAACATACTACATTTTTCATTAGTTGAGTAATGCCTAACAAACTTTTCGCAGCACTTGACTGTGAATTTCTTCAAATGATTGTTCCTCAGTATGGGCCACATGTTGTAGTGTATTTTGTACCAGGGGACCAAACTCATGCAAATGCTGCTGCTCAGTGGAAGTGGAAGACACAAATTATCTCCTTTGCCTTAAATCTATGCTCGGCAGCAGCCAATTAAAATAACAACATTTACATCCCAAAGCCACAAAGTAAACACAGTCATAATCGTAGTGACACACAGTTGATTGTCGTTCACTTATATTGCATAATTCCTGTGGTTTTTGATGTTCATGACTAGTCTTTGTGCAGTGATAGAAGAAGGAACCCTGTCTGACTGAATAATAGAATCAGCAAAAAAAAAACCCTCGGAATGTTATTACATACTGTGACAACAACTAAGTGTACAGTAGTGAAGGGTCAGTGTCGTTAAGTCTTTGCGGGCTATAATTTCACCTTTAATGCAAATGACCACTGTCGCAAATAGCATCTTCTCCTCTTGCACTCCTGTGGTTTGTTTTTATTTTTTTTTACCTGTATGCAGTGCAGTAGATCCGTGTGATAGTAACGGTCATGGTGAGCGTTGGCCGCAGCTAACGTCAGCAGGTAGTCATTTCGGGCTTGTGTGGCTTTTGAGTTACAGCCGCTTCTCTTAGCTTTTAGCTGTGAACAAAGACACAGACGATGACCAAATATTGCAGCGGTGATAACGACACTGTTTGGACGTCATTTGTTTTGTCGTGAGAGAGGGGGAGTCTTACCTTAACACTTGCTTTTTGTAAACTAATTCTCGACTGAAAAAGACCCAGTTTAGACCTGAAAAAAAAGCACCAGATCTTAATCTAACGTAAAATCCATCATGTCAGGTCTTCTCTATTATAGCTTGAATCTAATATTAGATGTCAAAAATAGAAAGGAAAGGCTCGAGGCGTCTCTAGAAAGTCCCAAGTCTTTTCTTCCTCCTTGATTCCATTTTCTGTCGTCTCAACTTGACCCCGAACAGACTGGAGCATGACACCAATAAATCTAAACCTGATCTAGCCAACAATGATTTATATGTATGGCTGGCAGCATCAATAAGACCTGTCTAATAAAATGATGGAGACTGAGTCTATGGGTGTGTGTGTGCGCATGTGAGCATTTGAACGGTTTCCTAGTCAGCTGAACTGTACATATATACAGTGGGGCTTCAAGATACGAGCCCCCCGAAATACAAGTTTTCCAAGTTACGAGTAAGCAACTTTTGAAAAATTTTCTCCATTTCTCCACACACTTTATTATCAATATATTTGTTTATATCTGTTTTTGATGTTTTGATAGGGGGTAATTTTAAATAAATTAAATAATAGTATATTTCTGGGGGGCTGGAATAAATTAATTGGTTTTTAGTTATTTAGGAAAATGCAATCGCGATCGACATGTGCTAGGAATCCTGACTTGGCCTGAATTTTTCTGGACAGACACCTTGGGCACCGCACACTCTAAACTAAAATGCAAGTCAAATTATATTTTTGTATTTTATGTTAATTCTGAAAGTCAGTTGCAGTCTGGCTCAGATGGTTCAGCGGCCTGAATTCTGTACATACTGTGGGCCACCAGTTGATGATCACTAGTATATGGCTTTTTCCAAACGTTGCTTTCATGTACATCTGCAATAGTAAACTTACTTGGCCTCTATGTCGGCCTTCTCTCGTACAGTATGTGCAACCTGTTCACAGTCGTAGTACTTTTTCTTGGCTTTGGCCAACTCCTTTACCGACTCCTGCAGCTCTGCTTGGATGCCACTTAACTGATCTATGGTCTGTGAAAAGGAAATGGGAACATGGGAGAGTGGTTAAATCAAGTTCAACAGTTATGCGTGCGTGAGCAGAGAGCAAAGATTTCCCTCTGTAACTATGAGTAATAAAAGGACCATCCACTCACTTTTTTCAGCTGCTGCTCCTTGTAGAGTCGTACAGTTTTGGCAGGATCTGATACTTGACTCTTGTAGTTGTCACACACGTTGAGCCGGGACTGACTCACCTGCACAGTACCTTCTAAGTACGCCCTCCAAACCGCATATACATTCCTAGTAGAAAAGAGGAAAGCGTATCACACTCAGTGGCAGCTCTAAAATAAATAAGCACCATGAGTAATGCCTTGCAAAAAGCATAAAAACAGCAAATGGCCATTTGCTTAAGATGTTCCAGTCAATTTACTGTTTGAAATTCAATTAACTGAGAAAAAAAATGAAAAATGATGATAATGAGGTTTTTGCAGTGAATGAAATTCTGCGATTGCATGCAAGAACCAATTCGTTTTTGTAGCACCTTGCTATAGACCCAGAGAGTTTACCTGTAGTCTGTCCTCTCGTCGTCTGGATCGACTCCAGGCCAGTCTCTCTTGAGGTACTGACTAGCCAACTTTTGCAGAGCCTGGGAACAAAAAATCAAAACTGTGAAAATTAATCACAATGAAGCAAAAACCTTTTATCCATTGGAGGTGTAATCACAGAAAATAAGAAATAAATTGCTGAAATGAACAGTCATGTACGTAGTAAGACTGCTACCGATTTGTTTTACTATTTTGTTTTATCATCCGAAATTTACTAATGAAAACGGCTGAAGGACAAAGACAGCCCAAAGCACAGATTAATAAAGAAAGGTCGGTATATTCCTAAAGAGACTGAGCACAGAGTGGAGACGTTGCAAAGACAAACATTGTTAAAAAAAATCAACTTTAAAAATGACCACCATTATCTTCCACAGTGTCTAGTAGCCGATAACGAAACATTACGTTTTTTATAGGAGCAATCTTTTACTCTAAGAAGTCACTGAAATAAATAGAGTTGCAACTACAGCTGTGTTTGTGCTTGGATAAGGAAGAATGGAGAGTATTTTTTTAAAGGATTTGTCACCAAAGGTATCTCGGACTTGTGACAAGAACGCCGCTTACATTAAGGCTGGGAAAAAGCCAACATCTTCTGGCCAGACTACCTCCATTGCTCTGCCAGGAATAGATCAAATACTGGGAAATGAGAACAAATACAGACCAAAGGTTTTAAGAAATGGAAGTTAGTACAACATGAAGGTCGCACGCTGTATGTACTGAGAACAACAAAATGACATTCGTTTTAGAACTGCATGGAATGATGGAATGATCTTAATGATCTTACAAAGTTCATTACAAAACGAGAAAACCAGGGCTGAGACTAACTGCAGGAAAAAAATAACTTTTTGAGAATAAATGAGCCATTTCAACACACCATTCTCATTTCCCTAATTTAAGACACACTGGTAATACTGATATGCAAACAACAGCCCAGAAGCTGGCAGTAATGCACCAGTAGTTTGTTTGAAGCCACAAAGAAGATGCCCCAGATGCCTTGAATTGTATCGGAACACAAGAAAGTTTGGCAAACATCAATTGAAGACCAGCTCCCAATGCTTGGCTTGTTTGGAGGAGGGCTGGTTTTTAAAAATCTTCCTAAATCAGATCTAACAAAATCGTGGTTTTGTGCAAACTTTGCAACAGAGACCTTTGATATTACCACAGCAACTTAAACCAGAGGTGTCGCCTCAGTACAAAACATGTTGCTTTGTGGACAGACACGAGAGCTAACATTAGCTCCAATAGTCCTGTTACAGACAAATCATGTGGCCAGCCCACAATAAACCAGATGACAGGGTTCACAGCCAAAAAAAGCCTTAACTGTGGCATATAATCGCTGTTAATGCACTCCGAGTTTGTGACTGTAGCAGACAGATGTCAAAAGTTCTTAGAGGAATACGCTAAGGAGAATTCCAAAACACTTTAAGTCTTTATTAGCAGAAATGAACAGATGAGAGGAAGAATAACCTACATTATCCAGACTGGGTCACTGTGTCAGAGAAACAACTAAGTGACTCTATGGTCTCGTTTTCCAGTTTACTCCATAAAACATATTATGCCTGTGGGCTGGTGGTTAGATCGGTTAGGATCGGGACAGTGATCGCAAGATTGCTGGTTTGTGCAAGCAACCCTCCAAAGACAAACAAAAAGTGTGCTTTCTAAATATTTATATCTATCATCCGATCGGGGAAATTAGATGTTGAAACAGGATTATATTTATCACTTATTTAATCTTGGTTCTGGTAACAAAAAGCTTCCAAATGAGAATAGTCTTGATGAGAAAAACCCTGCTCATCAACAGCAAATATTGTTTGTCCACTGTGCATCTGCAGTGTCACACAGCAAACTGAAAATGTTGTAGTGTTTTGTATTAACAGAATGATGATAATAATAATAAAAAGTTTTTCCAAATGGTGTCGGCCTTTCGCTCTTTCCTTCTCAGTGAAGTAAAGAAAGCCCAGTGATTAACAGAGATCATCGTACAAATGCTGACTTCCATCTGTTGTCCCATCTGAATATAGGACAATACACAATGACTGACTTGTTCATTTATTGGCTCAATGAGGCAAATACTGTTGTTTTTTTTAAAAGTCAAATACCATTATTACATTATTTCATGTTTGTCTCCTGGAAAACAAGTGTAAAGTATTAATTCTTGATCCATTGGGATACATGCACATATAATCATAATAAATATAATATGCAGTAGAGTATTTGTTAGCAAGGCTTGAGAATCCATTCTCACATAAAACAATAAATGCATCTAACAGACCAACTGGTAAAAACCATAACCATAAGTCTTGGAAATTATTATGCAAAAAAGGGTTTGTGTTTGACATTTAGTTAATACTTTTTCAGACTAATTAAAATAAAAGGTAGGAAGAGGAAGGTTGTTTCACATTAATAATCAAGTCACAGATTTGTGCTAAATAGCGGGGAAAAAAAGATAACCAGCATGGAAATATGCAATTTCATGGGGAAGATAGGAAGATGCCAGGTATTTCATGAAACTGTAAGGAGAGACATCTCCACTCAGGCGTGATCAAAGGTGCCGATGGGTTGGTTCAGATTAAGAGAAATCAAAGAAGGTTTCCTCCAGACAAATTAATCAAATTAAAAGAAGCTGTCAAAATCATAAAACGTGATTGTAATATATCCAATAAGGCCTGTGGCAAAAACTGCACTGCCCAAAGCATGAAGAAACATGTTTGTGTCGAGAACTTCTCTCAGTGTGACTCTCTGGGGAAGGGTGGAGAGGGTGTGAATGTTTTTGATGGCTGTGAAAATGTCTCTCTGTGTGTGTGTGTGTGTGTGTGTGTGTGTGTGTGTGTGTGTGTGTGTGTGTGAAAGCAAATGCGAGGCAGGGGCTGAAAAAAAAAAACCAGACAGTGTGACATTCAACATTAAAATTGCAACACAAGTACCAAGGATGTAATGGACTCCCCATGGGTGTTTCTATGTGGAAATGCCATGTGTGGACAGGCAGAATAGACAGGCAAAAGAAAATACTGTTCAACAGCAACTGGGGATTTGAAACTTATGTTGCTTCTGGAGTCACAAAAACATCTTCAAAAAGGATTCTCCAGTGACTTGCAGCTGTGCATAAAGTCGTATTACCTTGTGTTGTCCTTTGGAACTAGGTGACCCGGTGGCTGATAATATGCATTTGCGTGTATATGTGTGTGTGCACGCTCCTGTACTGCACGGCTTGTGCCAACTTTTCCTCATACTCTGATTCTGGCACAAGATGCAAAAGAAGCAAGAATGGTTAATCACAATGTACCATCAAGAACGTGACTACAGCAAAGACGTGGTGCGTTAAGTCTTATGGCAGAATCACCCGATGCTCCTAACAAATCTGTTGACCTCAAATGTTTTGTGCATCAAGGTACCACAAAAAAAAAATCATGGTGCAAAGTCACAAGACTGGGCAGAAATCTGACCCAAGATACCCAGAAGGTATTTCTAGTATCCTTTGAAGAGAAGAGCAAAAACTTAACATTGTCACGTGAGGGCAACAACAGGAAGTAGGCAGAACCCAAGTGCAGCACTGGTACAGGTAGCTTTATTAACAAAGTCCAAATTAATGAAACACAAAGAACTACCAGGCATGGAATTCTCTTTGTAAGACGGATCATGAGGAAACACAGAACAGAGAAATAAAGAACAGCCTGACAGAACGACCTGAACAATGATCCAACTACAATGATCAACCAGGACAGAGTGAGGGAGAGGGGTATATATACACAGGGAGCACCAGGTGACACAAGTGAAGCTAATTACCAACAGGTGAGTGTGATCCCACAGATTACCCCACAAAGCAGACAACAGGAAACAGGAAACAGACAGACATGACAAACATGGACCAATGAGTTCAATGGATGAGACTTGTTAGAGCATACGTGCCAAACTCAAGGCCCGGGGGCCAAATGCAGCCCGCCAGGCCGCTTTGTGTGGCCCGCGACAGCCTAAAAAGCATTTAGTAAAGTCCACACAGCAGAGATACTTAACCTATGAAATTACAATTTTTTTTTTTTATTACACAGCAAAGAACAATATACAGTATATAATATTTTTAGTTTGAATAAATAATAACAATTTTTTTTTAGTTTTTTGGTTCCAAGGTGCTGAGCATTGAAGGATCATTATTACATTATATATTATATATTATTATATATATATATTCTCAAAATAAAACTTTTTTTTTGAGTGTCTTTTATATCAAAATATTGCCATACTATCTTTAAATAAAGAAAGTAAATGGATATGGTGGATGTTCTTTGTCAACAAAATGAGTTTGATGTGAGAATGAATGTGTAACTTAATCTGTAAATATTACAGTGTGTGAAAATACAAATTATTGCAACAGATTCCTTTTTTTAATCCATTATTGTGGAACATGTGTATTAATTTTCTTTTAAGTCCTACGTCTTATCAAATAAAGAAACAGAGAGATTTATATGCTACGTTGCTGTTGCCAACATTTCAATAAGATTAAAATGTCATTGTAATATTTCCACAAGGGCCCATGGCCACACGGGAAAATGTGGCAATGTCCAAAGCATGAAGTAACATGTTTGTTTCCAGAAGAGTCAGTGCAACTCTCTAAGGAAGGGTGGAAAGGGTGTGAATGTTCTAGATGACTGTGAAAATGTGTTTGTTCATTGTGTGTGTGTAGCTAGGACTGAGACTGTGTCACATTCAATTTTAAAACATCAGCACATGTACAAAAAGTACAAATGAGAGAAATACAGATGATGGACATGAGCTAGGTTGTCTAATATGATTGGTCACATACAGATGATGGACATGAGCTAGGTTGCCTAATATGAGCGTGATTGACAGCTGGGTATTTCAAATGGAACTGCTAATGTGGTGCGAACAAAAACTGTAAAATATAGTGATGAATAATATGATGTCACGGCTTCATGTTTGCACAGGATTTACACGAGCAGTGTGAATGCAGCCCGATGACTCGGCATCTTTGCTCAGAAGTAACGTGACAGATACATAAGCTACGTTTTCACTGCAGGTCTTGTTGTCT